TTTGCTGTTATAAGTGGGTAAAAAGTTGTTTTAATATGTTTTTAAGTAGGGATACACCGATCCGATATTTTTATTGGTATCGGTCCAGATATAAAGAAAAAAAACTAGATCGGTATCGGTGACAATTGACTCGATATAGAGGCCGATCTATTCATTCCAACTATGCTATGCTCTGCCCTCATGCGGCAGCGCAACAAAACAACACGGCCATATTGTTTATGATTGAGCGAGCGAAAAGATCTATTTGTGGCAGAAATGTTCTGAGGGGGCGGTGTTAAATCTTCAAACTATAACACCACCAACTTAATGAAATACCTCTAGAAGTTTCATAACAAGGAACATGCTGAGATTATCGGACTCTACAAACAAAAAGGAATGCAGCAGGAAGCAGCTGACTTTGATGGAAGCAAAGGAAAGAAGTGAAATTTTTTTATATAACAGTATACAGGCCAAAAAAATCACAGAGGTGATACTTGATAATGATAATGACACTTTTTTTTACATGTTGACCAAGTCAGATATAAATAAATGAATCATAACATTTATATTAAGGTTGTTTCCTAATTTTTTTATTTTTTTTTTTGAGAAAAGGGGAATCAAATCATATGCACAGAAGAATGATCTGTTTTTTTCACACAATAAAACCATTTTTAGGTAATAATTCAGTGCTGTTTTTGGTATCGGTATTGGCCAACATTAAACTTCAAATACCTGTGTCGCAGTGGTCTCCAACCCTGGTCCTCAAGATCTACTGTCCTACAGATTTTAGATCCATCTCTGCTTCAACACAGCTGAATCAAATGATTGATTACCTTTTCAAGCCATTCATTTGATTCAGCTGTGTTGAAGCAGCGATGCATCTAAAATCTGTAGGACAGTAGATCTTGAGGACCAGGGTTGGAGACCACTGCGTGTATCGTATCGGAGGTGAAAAAAGTGAATCGGTGCAACCCTATTTTTAAGTAAGTAAATCCACCTAAAAACATCGCCTGTGCCTTGAAATATTATTTCACCCTTAGAGGTGCTTAGACCTCATATTCCGGCGGTGTGCTATCATTGGGAATCCAGCAACAGCAGCTACCTCAAGGTTGGTCGACTCATGTGGTTTTTCCTCCTACTTTGTTGCAGCTGGAACTAGATGGTAGTGTTTTTCAGATATGTTTAGACAAACTGCAAGAACCAGGATAATAAAAGCAAACATATTTTTCCAGCAGGTTTTGGCATTTTAAGTTAATTTAGGCGTTTATAAGGTGTTTTAGGGGAGTGATTATAGTTCTCTGCATCAGCATTGCTGTGTCTGTCTCCCTACCAGCTCCCAGATCAGCTTCTCTGATTGGTAAATGGGGCTCGTCGAGCAGCAAAAAGTCAGATTTTTCAACTTCAACATCTGTTGCTTGTGAAGCACGTCACGTACCTCATGCTCAGAAACTCTTGAGGCCCTGCTTCAGCTGCTCAAATGTGTCAAGATGAGCTGCTCCTGCTGATCCAGGACCTTTTGATGCACCATGATACGCGTCAACCATAGGCTTTGCATGTAAACCAGCTGCTTCTGCTGCCAGAAGCACGTCAGGTGTGAACTTGGCATAATCATGTTTTCCAGTTTTGTACTTTCATATTGAGTCCAATCCCCAACTTTGTTGGTATAAAATTTCATTTATTGGATTCTTATAGTGTACTTTAATGTCGGTTGGTTTAACTGGTGATATGCTCAGTACTTCTTTTTATTCTTTTTTTGTAATTCCATTGTAATTCTTTTAGGTATAAGGCTAAATGATTTAAATACATAGCTATAGTAAATCTTTTTATTTTTATACTAATAACTGGAAACTATCAATTTGATAGCAGAGTTCAGGAGAACAGAACCTTGACCTAAAAACTAAAGGAATCATAGATAAAGAAGTGTTTTAGTGTGTTTACTCGCCCACACATCTATAAGTGTTTCTTCTGAAGCAGAGGAGAGGGGTGGGAGCCATGCTGAATAATGTATACATGCTTAGGTAGTGTACTTACCACAGAGTGAATAATGGATGATCCCATCACAGGTAACCTCACAGGGACACACTTATCTTTCTCTCACCAACACCTATGTGTGTTTGATCAAACAATGTGTGGAAGAATAAATGAAATAAATCAGGTGAAACCTTTTTTTTTTTTTTTTTTTTTACAGTTTAATCAAACTTTCTGTTAACTTTTAATATTTTCCAACATCTTTTCTTTATGTTGGATGCTTTTTGTGTTGTGTGATGGTGAAAGAGCTGTTTATACAGATATTTTGTAACTTTTTGGAGCTCCTTATAAATACTTGTTAATGTGTTTTGTATTGTACAATTACTTGAAAAGGTGTAATTTCTTCTTTTTTATACAACCAACCAATCCACAAACCTCAAAGGCAATAAAACAATGGAATTTGTAATGGCTCTTTGGTCTCAGGTGTTTTTTTTATGTAGAACTATTAGTAGGGTGGTGTCCATATGACTGTACAGCTTTTAGGATATCTCTCATCCTGCACCGAGAGACTGAAGCTTTTTCCTTTATTTCATCCTCTGATATGGGAACTTGTCTGACTGACTGTGTGTCTCCTGGAGGGGGCCGCCTGTGGAGCTGGTTGACAATTGCAAGTTGCATCTCTGCTCCTTACTGTATGTCTGCTTCTGTCTCCTTGAACCCCAGTCGGCCTCGGCAGATGGCCGCTCACACCGAGTCTGGTTCTGCTGGAGGTTCCTTCCTGTTAAAAGGGAGTTTTCCTCCACTGTTGCTACAAGCATGCTTGTTATGAGGAATTGTTGAAGACTCGATCCAATCGGATGGTTTTTCTTAGGTAGAACATTTTGAACTAATCTGGCTGTATGATCTGACTGAATTGTCTCTGTAAAGTGCTGTAGTGATTTTATATTAAATTTAATTCCCATCCAGGTTGGATGTCATATTAATGTTGCGAATAACTTCGATTCCCAGCTAGCTGGGAATTCATATTTTCTCATACTTTAAGATGCTCATTGCCCAACCCAATAGGGGTGGTAAATATCTTATTTACCGTAATCAGATATTATTTGGGCTGTTATATATTGTTTATGAACACACGCCCTACTAGCTGTGTGTTAAAACAATAAATAAAAGAGTGATTCGAGTTCAAATCATGGTCAAACAGTTAACTCTGCACATTCATGGAATAAATTCACCACAACTTCTGTTCAAAATATAAGAGTTTATTAACAAAAATAATTCAGCTCCAAGTCAAAAATATTTAAGTTTAAAACTCTTAACTAAAACTAGTGAAACTTAACTAAACTACTATTTACAAAGAGGAAGGGGAAACATGGTTGAAAACCATATTACTGTTTAAGATGGACTTTGTGTTTTAAAACCAAAGTTTATCTCAAAGAATTTGGAATGTGATCAAATTAGCTTTTCACAAATTTAGAGAAATTTCAATGTTTTCAAGACAAACAACAGCTCAACAAATGTTACCATAGCATAGCATGCAGTCCATCCTGTTAGCTTTGTCTTTACTAATCAGTAAACATGTCAAATGATAAAAATCATCAAAAGACATATTTTTTGTTCTGTCCCTAATTGTGCCAGACCTGCAAACCTTTTGTCCATGTCCATTGGAAGGCTTGAGTTTCTTTCAGCAGCAGGTTTTCAGGCAGTCTAACAGCAACCAGGGGTTTTCTTTATCCATGTGGATAACACCAAGGGATCCTTAGGAGGCCTCCTCATCCAGTATGGCTCTGTAAGTTCTAAAACTCAAGAGAAATGTGTTGCAAAAAGTCTGTTTTCTAGCAGTTTGGTTCTGAAAACTCGAACCTCCCCTTATCATTGGTCATTCTGGAGATCTGGGCTTTTTGCCTGGATCTCCATTTTGGTGGAGCCCCTCCGATTTGGACCCTCAGGCAGCTTCATGGGAAAGAGAGTAAAATCCTGTGTGTTGTGGTCTTTACTGTCCTCAACACAGAGGGAGGGTGGCCAGTCATACCTCTGTGGGAGTTCCTGTGGAGGCAGTTGGCTGAAAAGGGGGGGGTTACAGAGGTCTTACAGCTGCTTATGAGTCTCTTCTCTGGTCATCATGTCAAGAGGAAATATGAACACTGGTTACCAATGTCCAAAAACCATGATCATGGCATATGGCACAACAGTGCCTTGAGATGACGTGTCTATTGAATTGTCGTGATAAAATTAGACTAAATTGAATTTAATTGAATTATTTTCTACTACCAACAGCTCATGCTAAAGAGTAACAGGTAGATTTAGGTCCAAAAAATACTTTCTCAAATATGCTTAGATCTGAATCATCCTTTTATAGCGCTAGCTTTACGTTTTGGGTCCTTGTCCTACTGGAGGGTGAACCTCCGTTTGAATATCAATTAATTTGTAGGATCCAATGTTTTTTTCTTGCAGGTTTTTTTTTTTTGTATCTGTATCATATTTTCACATGAACTCTGTCAAGTTAGTATTGCTTGTTCAGGCTTCTGTTTATCTGCCCCATGTCATTATGAATGTGGGCCAGAACATTAGATTTGGATTTACCACTTTACCATTTTGTGTTTTAGAACTCCCAGCAATAGTTGTCCTGTTGGCAGATTATTCAGCCTGGACTGAGAATCTCAGAACCTCAATAGTTAAAACATGCTGCACCGTTTTAATTTCCAGATGATCAAATTGCCAGCTTGGTCAGAATCTTAAAACTTCAAGTTAAAGAGGCTGGAAGCAATTTTCCTTCAGGCGGAATATTGAAATGCATGTACATTTTTCACTGCAGTTGAGGGTTTTTAGGGTATCTGAACCCGTCCTAGTCTTAACTCTTCATTCCCTTTTTTTCCTGGTAATAGGCACAAGGTGTACTGACTGCAGGTATGTAGGATGGGGGAACTATGTTCAAATGTAGCGATCAGATTCTAGCCCGGTGTCACATTTCTTTGACCAGGTCGCTGGAATTTGAGATCATGCTGTTTCGTCTGCCTGATTGTCCATCCCTTGTGAAGGAGTGTTAAAATGTCATTACACGCAACACAGAAGCAGCTTCTGGAAACAGTGTTTTGACCTCTGGTGAGAACATCTTCGGTTCTCCACACTGACCCAAGACAAGACGGGGAGCGACCCACTTAGGACTCCCCCACCGAGACCATTAACGCTGCTGCCATCGATACGTGAAGCGTTTCAGATCACTCATTGGGGAGGCATATCCACTGACAGGCACGTTATTACTCATTGGCCGCACTTCCGTAGATTGTGTTTCAGACGTTAGGGAGCTCCCGAGTCATCCTCCAGGCGTTTATGTCACTTGTACGTGTGGCTGCATCTGTCTGCCATCGGAGGAGAGGCCACTCACCTGCAGAGAGAGAACTCTGAAGACCTGGAAGGGGTCTCTGTTGCATGATAGGTACAGCAAACTGTGAACACTGACTGTCAAAAGATGTCCCACCAAACTGGAATTAATGGTAAGTGTGTCTTTAAATGAAAACTTTCATTATATCTAATCTGAATAAGTAGAGTGTGGTTTTGTGGGATCGTGTTTAGGACGTCTGAAGATGAAGTCTGCAAATGTTATCTAAAAACATGATAAACTTTGCCAGGATAAAGAGACAAATATCCATGCATGTACCTATTCTAAATGTCTGTAATGTTTTGATGATGAGATCAGGAAATTTCCTTCATTCTGCAGCGGTTTATGTATGCAGGTAATGGAGTTTATTAATCGGAGGGTTGACGGAAGTGTTCCTTTTTCTCACCTGATCGTACATCATTTATGAGATGGCAGGGTTTGGTAACCATGGTGAGACAAGAAGAGACACTAAAGCAGACCAAGATTTTCTATATGAGAATTCTTTTTTAACAGAACAGAACTGGTTTATTCTAGAAACTAGTCTGTCAGTGGCTGGTCAGAGTGTAAGTCCGTTTAGATGACAAAATGATTTCCTGGCTGTGGATCAAATTTTCACTCTTCAGTGGAGTCACAGCTTCTTACTTACCAAACTCTGCTTTGCTTGTCTTTGTTTGCTTATGCTTGCTTGTTTTTTTATGCTTATATCTGATTGCTGCAGCAACACCCGAGCTTAAACAGTTCCTGGCTCGAGCAAGAAGAGGTTACATCAGAATAATGAAGATCATAATCAGCAATGGTAACAACTTCTACTATTAAAAAGCCCATTATTGAAGCTAGGACCTAATGTTTCCTGAATTTCTTTCTCTTCTTCTGCAGAGGAGTTGGTGTTAGATTCATACAGAGAGCCTGCCCAGAGCTGGGACAAGGACTTTGATCAGTTTCTGCTTCCTCTTCTAAAGCCTCAGGAGCCCTGTTACATCCTTTACCGTCTGGATTCCCAGAATGCACAGGGACACGAGTGGATATTCATTGCATGGTCGCCTGACCAATCACCAGTATGTTTGGAAATTAGCCTCAGTTCTATATTTCTGTTGCAGTGTTTCAAATTTAACAGAAGAGGGGGAAAAACATTTTCACAACTTTTTTATTTTTATTAACTTCTTTATACTGTATTTAGCTTAAGATGCGGCAGATTTTCTTGTAGTTACTTAAAGTGGTATTTTAATGTTTTTAGTTCAGTATGTTTTTGCTTGTTGTTTTTTAAGCCTCTTAACTCTATGATTCATGCAAGCATAAAAAGACTCATAGATTTAAAGAATGAAGCGGTGTTCTTCTTGGTCTTTTTGGGTATGTCTTCATAAACTTTGAGGCTCAAGACATCTAGGAAATTCATCACATCTACCTTTGTTAAATTTCAATTCATTGTTTAAGTCTTACCAAATATTAAGAATAAAATCTAGATCTGAACTTCTATAGAATATGCTTCAATTTTTAACCCCAGCATTACAGCTTAGGCTGTACTTTTAGAGTCATCCTAATGGGATAGGAACCCCCATGGACTATGAATAGAATAGAAGTCAACTTTATTATCATTACATCACAAGGACAAAGCAATGAAATTAACTCTTTGCATTTAACCCATCCCCTTGGGAAGCAGTGGGCTGCCATTGTACAGAGCGCGTGGATAAGTATGGGGTTAAGAGTTTTGCTCAGGGACCCAGAATGCAGGCTGTGGAAATCGAACTGCGTACTTGCTGCCTTCCCAGAGCACAAGTGATAGCATCATAATGCCATCACTTTTTCACTACGGATATGATGTTTTAGATATTTTTTTAATTAAGTAACTAGATCAGTTTCAGCCTCCTGCACAGCTTCCTGCAATTCAGTATTTTTACTCAATTGTTGAATTTGCAGATTATTTGTCCTAAGGAACTGAGTTCCCCCATGTAGCCAAAACTGATTTAACTACACACAGATTGACTCTGTTTACTCATTTTGTGAGTTTTGTGGCTGAGATGATAAGGACTTTTTTAAGGGTTACAATAAAAAAAAAAACACGAGCTTAAATAAGTGCCGCACTTTCTAGATGTTTAGTTATTAATAAAAAAAAAAAATCATTATTTTTTTTCCCTTCCTCTTCACAATTATCTACCACACAGTGTTGGACAATAACATCAATGGGCAACGTTTTTAGTCAATTTCCGCAAAAACTCCCAGTGATAAGAACTTAGCATCCTGTGATAAAACCATCTGATGACTCTGTGGTCGGGTTTGTTGGTTTCATATTTAATGCTGTCTTTATGTTCCATAGTTCGAGTACTTGGAAGTATCACTGTGCAGTTTTTATCCGAACAGATTTGCTTTTCAGAAACACGTGTATAGCCAAAGAGAATATTTTGATTCATTGAATCTGTTTAAAACTGTTGTTTTAAATCTTTTTTTAAATACCAAAACATATTCTAAAATAATTATTTATTCATATCCTCCATATCATCCATCAACTGCCCTCTACTTACCAATTTTTCTAATTTTGTCGCTTTTAGATGAGCTGAATAAAAGTTTTTTAAAAATTAATAAAGTCAACAGTAAAAACTCCCAAAAGCAAGATAAAATAATACAAAAAAAGCTTTGTTTAAAAAGCTAAATGTAAGGGAGTTAACAGTGCTTTAAAAACACAACCAAAATAAGCAATGGTCGTCACTTACAAGTTTAAATTACAGGATCTTATTACCATCTTCACCTACTATATAATGGGTATATGAATCTGATTTATTTAGTCTAAGAAAAACATATAGAACATCCGGATCCTAAATACTACAGCTGCTGTGTGTCCTCTAGGTGCGGCAGAAGATGATGTACGCTGCAACCCGTGCCACATTGAAGAAAGAGTTTGGAGGAGGTCACATCAAAGATGAAATGTTCGGCACAGTCGAGGTGTATAAAGGCCCCTCTAATGTATACTGAGAGATCAACCAGTCACCTCCCGGTTAATCATTGTCATTTATATTTCTGTATTCCTGCAGGATGATCTGTGCTTTCAGGGATATATACGCCACAGAGCCTCCTGTTCCTCTCCAGCTCCTCTTACAGCAGCCGAACAAGAGCTCCAACGAATAAAAGTCACTGAGGTACTCATGAAATCAAAGTTATTTTAAGATGTTACAGGGCCTTGCAAAAGTATCCATGTACCGGTATACTTGCACAAACCTTTATATTTCCTATTTATATGTTATTTAGTAGTTCAACACAATATAATAGGATACATCGTTTTAAATTGGAAGGAAAAAAATGTATGTTTCATGTAATTTTATAGTTAAATATTTGAAAATAAGGTATTGAATTGTATTTAGCCGGGTTTTCTTCAAATCCAAATAAATTTCAAAGATCAGTATGAATATCATAAGAAAATGAAAATCAAGAATAAGATGAATATAGATGAATATCTATAATATAACTGAATATCTGAATATCTATAATGCTTAATCGAGGTTTGAAAAGATAGAAAACATTAGTGAACAAACATCATAATTAAACATTAAACATGTCGATGGCTGCGTCATGCTATGGGGAGGGTTTCAGCAATCATTTACTGGGGAGCTTACGATGGGTTAGATAATGGGAACATAGAATCCAATGTATGTGTGTTAGAATGGTCCAAACCTAAATTGAAATGAAAATCTGTGGTAAGACTCTCAAATTATTCTAAATTATATGAAGTATTTTTCTAAAGAGAATAAAAAGTAGTTTTTATGATCTGCCAATTTGCCAATCATGGTCCAAAAGAGCTCTCTCTATAAATGCGGTGAACAGAAATTGTAGAAGTAAAAAAAACCTTGTTTAGCTAAACAGCTAAACACAAAAATATTCAACACCTTCCTTTTTTAATGCATTGTTTAAATGTTTGAAGCTCATGCGCCGCCTGTTCCACTTGATTACTTTGTGTTGATCTTTTTGCTTTAAATCCCATCAAAGTGTAAATAAGTCTGTAAAAAAAGTCAGAAAATCTAGAAAAAGAAAATTAAAGGTTCATCTATGACTTTATAAGTTGCTGCATATGCAAATTATGTCTTCATTGTTTGTTCTCTTTTTTTTTTTTTTGCACTTTATGTTTTCTATTTTTTGCTACAGGATAAAGTGGTCTTGGTAAGCTGATCCTTTTTATACATATTTATGTGTGTATTTCAATCCATTAAAATGCAGGAATATGAACGCCCTTTTGTTTGCAGGATGAACGGAGAAGAATCGGAACCCCAACGGCACGAGCAAGGGTCTGTCCAGACACATCTCTTCTTATTTACTCATTTTACATAATCCAACAAAGGAGCTGATTTTATGCTGGTCTGACGGCTTTGTCCAGGTCACAATGGAGTTTGGTTTAGACAGGAGGACTCAGACTCTTCAGGGTCTTGCCTTCCCTTTACAAGAAGATGCCAAACGAGCTCTGCAGCAACTAAAGCAGAAACGAATCAACTACATTCAGCTGGTGAGCCTAAAAAGACAAAAGCCATTATGTAATCAGTGGGTAGTCTTGGTTCAAATGGTAATTTTAATTTTAGTTATATGTTGTAATGCTGGTACATGATTAATTCTCTCAGAGTTTGCTTGTCTGTGTTGTGCTCCAGAAGCTGGATGTGGAAAAAGAGACGATTGAGTTGGTTCACACCAAACCCACAGAAACCCACGAGCTTCCCTTCAGGATTCCTACAGATTCTCCTCGATATCACTTCTTCATCTTCAAGCATTCCCATCAAGGCCAGATTCAGGAGGCGCTGGGTCAGTATGCAGTCTGCTGTGCTTGGGAAATATGCAGATAAACAAATATAAACAAAAATAACAGATAAACAAAGACAGAGGCGTCACAATTTTACCACAATCATGGTTTTGTTTTTATTTATTTCCACTGGCCTTTTGGATAATTTATCTTTGGTGGTGAGCTTCAAGTCTGGGGTTAGCTTTCCTAGCCATCCCTCTAAGCTGCCTTCACTGGTTTTGAATCATATTTTAAGTTGGGACTCTGGTTGGAACGCATGATATTACTTCAAGTTAGAAGAGACATGTTATTTATTTATTTTAAACCAAATCTCTGTTAAAAAACAAACACTGGACTTTTTTCCCAGTTTGAAGATGTTTCACTTCCCATCCAGGGAGCTTTTTTAATTCAAACCGTCAGCGTTCAAGGCTTTATAGAGTGGATCAAAACAAAGCCTTTTTTTAGCTTAGAAACATGCCAAACTAACCTGACGAGCGGGTCCGCCCCTTAGGAATGGGAGTCGTTTTGTGTCTTTGATAGCCTGTAATACACGAAACCTGTCTATGTCTCTAAAAGGGGCGGTCCTTACAGGAAATATTTGGCCTGGCTGAAGAGGCGAAGTGCTCTGGTCCCCTGTAATCAGGTGGGGGTTACGATGATAGCGGAAGGAATCAACTCAATCGCTGAATTGTAGGTTTTTCGAAAATTGAAATCTGAGTCCACCCCCTCTGTTTAAGGTTGTTTTTTCTTTCTTAACAAAGATGATGATGTCACTCTGTAAAGACAGCGCAGAACCATAAACAATTGCAGCAAACATGGAGGACAGCGAAGAAAGAGATGTACAGCAGAGTTAATAAGTATTTGACTGAAAATTATGGAGTTAATAAGTACTTGGGTGGATTCAACAATCCAAAAGAAACCCAAGAGGTCTTAAAGCAACAGGTCATTTGACTATGACGCTGCACCCACATGTTTCTCCTCTAAGAAGTTGCTGCCACTGCTCCTCTAAAAGCAAAATTAATATTTTAGCACTCTTTCTCGTCTGTCTAGTTTTCAGCATTGTCTGCTGTATCATCCTGCTACTTGCACTGTTTAAACAGCTTTAAATCCATTTATAGACACTGACTTCTAATTTCTGTTCTTATTATTGTTTTCTTGCACATTCTGGAACACAGTTTGAGGAGGTCATGTGAACAGCTACACAAAAAAATCAGATCTTACAAAAAAAACGTAATTGAGCATTAAGACATACAGTGTGAAAGTAGCTTATGTGTCAGCGCTTCTCCTAATGGCTGCCAAATCTTTGTGACTGAATTGCTGAGTATCGCATCAACCACAGCCTTTCTGAGAATGTCATTTCTAGTGTTTCCCAAAAGCTTCACATCCAGACGATATGCCAGCCACATGTTCAAAGCTTTACTAATCAGTTCTGTTACACACTCTGGCTATGAATGAGATGACTGCTTAATGGCAAAGTGTTTCCTCCCCTGACGCACCCACTGAGTGTTATTACTCACCTCGGATGTTCCTGCCAGCTGTGCCGAGGCTCTTGGGTGTGTTCATTTCCTGCTGCAGCCTTTAGCACTGAGAGCAGCTCAAGCTTATGAGTCAACTTCAAAAAACGGTTTCAGACCCAAGTTTAAGATGCAGTTTGGAGGAGCTATGGTTTAAACCAGGTAATCATAGCCACTTTAGGAGATGTGTGACTGAGAAGTGTTCTGGTAGTTTATTAAATTGCGAGAGGTTAAACTAACAATGATGACTTTAAACATTTTGCATCTTGCCTTAACTTGAACGGACTGCAGAATTGTTGGAAAGCTTTCACTGTACAATACTGCTTTCTTCCCTGTTCTCATCAAATACATTTTTGCAGTTATAAAACGCTGTCCTGCGCTTCACCTATGCATTTGAGGTGTTTCAACAGCTTCCTATAATGATGCCTAGGCCACAGCTCTATGCAGCACTAGAAGATCACATCAACTTTGCACATAGCTACTGTCAGGATGATGCCTTGTTCTGGCCATGAGGCAGTTCCTACTCTAAATTCTCATTGAGCAAGCCAAATCCAATTGTAAAAGTCTCAAAATTGATAGAGAAATTGATAATAAAAAATGCCCCAGAAGAAACCCTGCAATTTACAAAGACATCTTAAAGGTCTTTAGCAGATTCTAAAGACCCTGAGTTAATTGTCACCCTCCATTTTCCTCACAGTAAGGTGCATTTTTATTCTGAAATCAGCCATTGTATTTAGCTGCCTTAACTTATACTTTTACAACAAAAACAAAACCACAAATCCCCCATGATGGCACAACTTTGACCTTTTACACCATATAAGTTGGTCCGTCAAGAACATAGGGCTTCTGTGCTTTAACAACATGCTGCTGAGAATGTTAGGTCTAAGGGGTGCGGCTTATAACTCATTGCATTTAGCTGAGCAATAACTAAGATGTGTGGAGGATTTCCTAAGAGAAAAACCTCAAGGAGCTCTAAGTTGGCTGTCTTGCTAAATTTCAAATATTTACAGTGCTTTAGATACAGGTATCGTGTTTTGTGTGTTTTTCGATTTATGTTTAAGCTTCCTATCATCTTGGAAAAAGGTCCCATAGACTTACAAGCAAGGCCAATCGGTCACAACAACCATAATTTTATTTATGGCTATCAGTGAAGACTCATATACAGTGAGTAAAATACGAATTTGAACACTCTGCTATTTTGCAAGTTCTTCATCTTAGAAATCGTGGAGGGGTCTGGAATTGTCAGCATAGGTGCATGTCCACTGTGAGAGACATAATTGTAAGGTAAAATAATCATAAAGTATTTGAAAAGCTGTCAAAATTCCAACATTCTGACCCTGAAAGACCTGCCTTCAAAATGTCCACCTCCACTCCATTTATGATCCTGAAGTGCACTCACTGGCCACTTTATTAGGTACACCTGTCCAACTGCTCGTTAACACTTAATTTCTAAGCAGCCAATCACATGGCGGCAACTCAGTGCATTTAGGCATGTAGACATGGTCAAGACAATCTCCTGCAGTTCAAACCGAGCATCAGTATGGGGAAGAAAGGTGATTTGAGTGACTTTGAACGTGGCATGATTGTTGGTGCCAGAAGGGCTGGTCTGAGTATTTCAGAAACTGCTGATCTACTGGGGTTTTCACGCACAACCATCTCTAGGGTTTACAGAGAATGGTCCGAAAAAGAAAAAACATCCAGTGAGCGTCAGTTCTGTGGGCGGAAATGCCTTGTTGATGCCAGAGGTCAGAGGAGAATGGCCAGACTGGTTCGAGCTGATAGAAGGGCAACAGTGACTCAAATAACCACCCGTTACAACCAAGGTGGGCAGAAGAGCCTCTCTGAACGCACAGTCTGTCGAACTTTGAGGCAGATGGGCTACAGCAGCAGAAGACCACACCGGGTGCCACTCCTTTCAGCTAAGAACAGGTAACCGAGGCTACAATTTGCACAAGCTCATCAAAATTGGACAATAGAAGATTGGAAAAACGTTGCCTGGTCTGATGAGTCTCGATTTCTGCTGCGACATTCGGATGGTAGGGTCAGAATTTGGCGTCTACAACATGAAAGCATGGATCCATCCTGCCTTGTATCAACGGTTCAGGCTGGTGGTGGTGGTGTCATGGTGTGGGGAATATTTTCTTGGCACTCTTTGGGCCCCTTGGTACCAATTGAGCATCTTTGCAACGCCACAGCCTACCTGAGTATTGTTGCTGACCATGTCCATCCCTTTATGACCACAATGTACCCAACTTCTGATGGCTACTTTCAGCAGGATAATGCGCCATGTCATAAAGCTGGAATCATCTCAGACTGGTTTCTTGAACATGACAATGAATTCACTGTACTCAAATGGCCTCCACAGTCACCAGATCTCAATCCAAAAGAGCATCTTTGGGATGTGGTGGAACGGGAGATTCGCATCATGGATGTGCAGCCGACAAATCTGCGGCAACTGTGTGATGCCATCATGTCAATATGGACCAAACTCCCTGAGGAATGCTTCCAGCACCTTGTTGAATCTATGCCACGAAGAATTGAGGCAGTTCTGAAGGCAAAAGGGGGTCCAACCCGTTACTAGCATGGGGTACCTAATAAAGTGGCCGGTGAGTGTAGATGCACCTGTTTGAGGTCGTTAGCTGCATAAAAACATCTGTCCACCCAATACAATGAGTAAGAATCCAACTACTAACATGACCAAGACCAAAGAGCTGTCCAAAGTGACTAAAGACTAAATTGTACACCTCCACAAAGCTAGACAGGGCTACGGAGAAATTGCCAAACAGCTTGGTGAAAAAAGCTCCACTGTTAGCGAATTCATTAGAAAACGGAATCACTGTCAATCTCCCTCGGACTGGAGCTCAATGCAAGATCTCACCTCATGAGGCCTCAATAATCCTAAGAAAGGGGAGAATCTCCCCAGATCTACACGGAAGGAGCTGGTTATGACCTGAAAAGAGCTGGGACCATTGTTTCCAAGGTTACTGTGGGTAATACACTAAGATGTCATGATTTGAAATCATGCCTGGAATGGAAGATTCCCCTGCTTAAACCAGCACATGTCATGGCCTGTCTTACATGTGCAATAGGAGATCTTTTCTGATGCATTTTTTACCATGTGGCTTAAAGATCTCCCTTTGATTTCTGGATTTTGTTTTTAAGACTGTCTCTCACATTGGACATGCACCTACGATGAAAATTTCAGACCCCTCCATGATTTCTAAGTAGGAGAACTTGCAAAATAGCAGGGCATTCAAATACTTATTTTCCTCACTGAAGTAAATACATTTGACAAATGTTCCTACTTTCTATATGATATCTTTAGATCAGTAATTTTCTCAGACTTTTGCATCTATTCATAAAACACCACATTGTTCCCTCACCACCATACCAGTGGTTACTAAACTTGTTGTTCAAACGTCAAAATTGGATGTTCTGAATAATGTCAAATGTCTCGAAAAATTTTAAAGACTAACTCCCATCCATCCATCCATTATCTGACACGCTTCTCCCAATTGGCGTCGCGAGGGGTGCTGGTACCTATCTCCAGCAGTCAATGGGCGAGAGGCGGGGTACACCCTGGACAGGTCGCCAGTCCATCGCAGGGCAACACAGAGACAAACAGGACATACAACCATTCACGCACACACTCATACCTAAGGAGAATAAGACTAACTCCCATTTATTAAATTTGATACAGGTTTACATGTAGCAAAACTGTGAAATCAAAGCAATTGCAATTATATTCAGTGAAACCCAAATACACTTAGACAGGAATCTGTTCTGAATCTTTCAGTTGCATAAATTCATCATATATTGGCTAAATGCACCAGATTTAAACACATTTTGATATTTATCAGTAAATCAAAAAATAAAAAGCCATATTTGGCAAATTATAATTTTTTTTTTTACTTGAAATTTGTGAGGTTTGGTTTGACGTTCTTCACACAAAACTTGGTTAGGAGATTTGTTGTTCTATCTGAAGCATTTTTTCCGAGTTCTTATTGGCCGTTTAGTTGAGCCTAAACTGCAGTGCCTCTAACCTAGCTCTTCCTGGCATAGCTCAGTCTTTAAATGCCCTCTGATTAGTTTCATGTCTCTCCCAGTCTTTATATACTCGATGCCTGGCTACACCTGCAGCATCAAGGAGCGGATGCTGTACTCTAGCTGTAAGAATAGGTTACTGGAGGAGGTGGAGAGAGACTATCACTTGGAAGTCACCAAGAAGGTAAAGGTCATATCAAATCAGCAGATTTATCTTCAGTAATGACCACCACTGAGTTAGTTAATTATTCTCTGTTTTGTGTGTTTAGATGGAGATAGACAGCGGCGATGGGCTGACAGAAGACTTTCTCTATGAGGAGGTTCATCCCATAGAGCACACCTTAAAGCAGGCTTTCGCTAAGCCCCATGGACCAGGAGGGAAGAGGGGCAGCAAACGCCTCATCAAGGAGAGGGGAGAGAACGGGGGGGAGAATTAGACATCACACCCAAAAAATATCTGCAAGCAATTTTAGAAATATTGAATACTGATTGCCTGTTATTTCCATGTTAAGTTTTTTGTCACTTGTTCTATATTGCTATTCAAAGATAATTTTTGAAAGTAAAATTAAGTAAGGTGTAGATCTGTCCTAAAGGTAAAACTAATAAGTCACTATAAAGATGTGTCTAAAGGCTGATTTATTTTGGGCAACTTTTCCACTCTCCTCTAAAGCTTCTGTTGTCCGACAGTGAGGCTGTCCACAAAAAGGGATGTCATGCAGCCAAAGTTTTCACAGATCCACACCAAACACTGAGAGCTGAGCGTCACTGCTCAGTGCACAGCTAACAGGCGTTTGGCCTAATTTTACAGTCAGCGTTTTTTATTGTGGAAATATACCTGTTGTGATGGGCAGCACTCTTAACACCTTTTGGTATTCCAGTTAGACAAATGTAAGAAGCCTTAAAACAAATTAATCCTTTATTTTGGTAGTATACTCTCACACTTTTCCGAACTTTTTTTTTTTCATTTGGGGACATCAATTCAATGTAGGAAACATGGAAATAACTAACCTCTCACAACCTAATGTTATAAAGCTGTTTTTTTACTTGAGTTTTCAAGATTATCTAGGTGTGTAGGAACTTTTAGGTACTGTTTACTTGGGGATTAGAAATGCTGGAACACAGAAGCACATTTTTCTTAGCCTTTCCTTAAAAGGGTAAAAAGACAGGAGAAGCATCTATTATTTTTTTCAGTCGGGAACAAAAGCAAGGTCATTGTATTGCTGGCAACCATGTACAATGACAAATAAACTTCGTATGACATAAGAATGCAAAGTGTATTACTCTACTGAGCCAGGAAGTGCTATAGTAGTTAAAGTAGTAATGATAATATAATGTATAATGTTTTCATGATATGGTCGGGACATTAAATTACTCTGTATTAATTTAGCCATCTTAGTTCATTTCTAATAGTCTAAAATCAAGGCTATATTACTAAAAATACAAAAGGGATAATAACAAATGTGTAGGCCTGTTTTTGAAAACAATAAAACTTTTAATAAACTGGCAAAATTGGAAGATGATTCACCAGTTAGCACAATGAGCATGACAGTAAGGGAAGGATGTGAAGTTTTCAGTAATAAAGTGGAAACATGGGGATGATGGAGCTCCTGTAACTTGCTGTTTGATTATGATAAACATAAGATTCCCTGTAAATCATCAACAATTCACAAACATAGTTTTTGTTCTTTAAATTGATATTCACTCAATAAATCTTCTCCACAAGATTCTGATTTATTGATAATCCAGGGGATAATTTGCAACAAAAAGTGAATTTTGATTAGAGATTAGTGTCTATGGGGGTAGTTTCTGTTAAAGAAAGATTTATTAGATGTAAATGGCAATTTTTTGAATGTTTAACCAAGCTAAATAAACATAACCTTAAATATTAGAAAACAATGGGAGGTGGTGGAGAATGACAGAGCTAAGGTCCTGTGGGATTGCCAGATACATACAGACAAAATAGTTGTGGTTAACCAACCACACATTGTGATCATTGATAAGCAGCAGAGGATGGCTGAGTCATCGATGTGGCCATCCCGAATGATAAAAAGAACATGAGAAACTAGAGAAATACCGAGGGCTCAGGGAAGAACTAGAGAGAGCCTGGAGGGTGAAAGCAACTGTAGTGCTCGCAGTCATCAGAGCACTAAGGGACAGTAACCCCTACACTGGAAATGTGTCTCCAACAGATACCTAGAGTTTTGGTCTTTTCCACAGGAGAGGAGCCTGATAACTAAAAGATCTGCCTCCCATTCTACTTTTAGAAATTCTAGGAACCACTAGTAAACCTGCAGATTGAGAGCGAAGTGCTCTGTTAGGAACATAAGGAACAATCAGATCTCTGATAGAAGATGGAGCTTGGCCATTTAAGGCTTTAAATGTGAGAAGGAGGATTTTTTTTATTCTATTCTGGATTTAACAGGAAGCCAATGAAGAGAAGCCAGGATAGGAGAGATGTGATCTCTCTTTTTAATTTTCATCAGAACTCTGGCTGCAGCATTTTGGATCAGCTGAAGGCTTTTAACTACAGTTTGTGGACTTCCTAAAAGTAAAGAATTACAATAGTCCAGCCTTGAAGTAACAAATGCATGGGCTAGTTTCTCAGCATCACCCCTGGACAGGATATTTCTAATTTTTTGCAATATTCCGCAGATGAAAGAAGGAAATTCTATAAACCCCTTTGATATGGGATTTAAAGGACAGGTCCTGATCAAAAACAACTACAAGATTATTTACTTTATCTGAAATCAGTTTAATCCCATCCAAATGAAGTGATTTTTCAAAGACTCTGGTCCAAAGACTATAACTTCTGTTTTGTCTGCATTCAGGAGCAGAAAGTTAAGAGTCATCCAGTTTTTTATGTCTTCGAGACATGCCTGTAATCTATGTAATGGGTTAGCTTCATCTGAAGAAGCCACCCAGCCCACCCAGGAGTATGAGGGGTGGGGTGAGACATGTTTAAATGTTTACATGTACCATACCTCTCATTTTACATACCTATCAGTTGTGTATAGTCTTAAATAATGGAATTGTACTGATGTGGGTCATGTCTAATAGAATCTGGATTTTTCCTCTAGAACAACCAATAAACTCCAGAAAAAAAGACATCAGTTGTAGGGCACAATAGAGGACACAAAGATTAAAGGACACATAAAAGACAGACAGATTGCAATTATATGAATACATGCATTTTGTAAGAACTATCATTCAAACTAATGTTTCTTTCACTGAAATCTAGGGTAAATAATCTCTCATGGCTTGAAAAAAAACCCTGCTGATTGAAGGGATCTACTCAAGCAGGCTGTCTTGCATCGAATCTGGAGAAGCCTTTGATTGAAGAGTCGGTTGTTGTTCAGCAGTTTTGTGAAGAGGATATTCAGAGTCGTCCATAATGTTTTTTATTTATAAAAATACTTTTATAGGGGCCTCCTCATTTTATCCCAGTGCATTGCACTTTTTTATTATTATAAAAAAAAAAAGAAGTGGGGGATTGTTGGCCTAGTGGTTAAAGCAGTATGCTTGTGCTATTAGAAGGTTGTGGGTACCAGGTTTAATCCCCACAGCCTGAACTCTGGGTCTCTGAGCAAGACCTTTAACCCCACACTGCTCCCCGGGCGCCGCACAATGGCAGCCCACCACTCCCCAAGGGGATAGGTTAAATTTAGAGATAAATTTCTCCAGTGTGAGATCACCCACTACCCCCCTAAGTTCTGTCACGCTTAATCCCATTTGGGGTTGTGAGGGTTGCTTTTGCCTATCTCCAGCTGTCTACGGGCAAGAAGCAGGGGACACCCTGGACAGGACGCCAGTCCATCATAGAGTGTGAGATCAATAAAGTTCTATTATTATTATATTGTTATCAATATCATTATGATTATTATTATTATTAGTGCAATTCTTGCCCAGATGTGACCCTATTTAAACTTGAAAAAGACTAAGCTAGATTATATAACTTTTAAAGGTCTATAATAAACAAGTTCTTCCACAATCTTTTCTGTGACAAGACAATTTGTAGGTAAAAAGGAGGCCTACTTTGTGTGGCTAGAAAAAAAAAAGTTCAATACTCATAAAGACCAACATAAATAGCTCAGAATTTGTTATATTCGTAGTGCTTTTCTGGCACTATGATATAGTAGATCTACTCTAAAGTGGCACAGACATCTACTGCTTCAGTAGCCTCTAATTAACATTTGGCAACATTTAAATGAAGTTTGTTATTTTACGCTGTAATTAAATCAAACGTTTTATGTATTTAGTTGTGTTTTCCTTGTGTTCCTCCTAATTGCATGTGTGTAAGTAAAATCCCATAGTCATGCAGGGAGCAGCAGCAGGGGTCACGGGGTTGCCTGTTTTTTTCCCAAGAAGGAGATCTACCCAGAATCCTGTGCTGTGCTGCTTTCATACCTCACGGGAACCAGGCCTGATGTGAACATTTCTTCTTGGAATCCAGGCTTAGAGCTGAGCAGCAGCTTTTCAAGTGGTCATTATCTCAATACATGCAAAATATGTTAAGATTAAGATTAATCTTAGAAAACAGGCTGACTTTAGATAAGAAGTTAATTTCCAAGAAAAAAAAGAAGCTGCACCTGATGCAGACGTTTCAAGTAACAAACAACTGAAAGATGACAGTGAAGAAATCATGAAATCTGATAAGGCAGCAAAGTATTTTCCTCACTAACAGCTAATGTCTAAAGTTTACTAGAAAAGAGAACTACAAGCTTTAATACCCATGTTATAAAACAGTCTGTAATAGAAATTAAAATTAATAGTGTGTTTCTGTTTTGACTGAACTGGAAGACAGCATGAAACTACACTTCAGTCAGATCAAGTTACAAATATTACAGGAAGTAGAACTCCTAGATTTTGATCTAAAACTAACAGAAACAAACGACAGCCCTGGTAGAATCAGCATAAACCTTTACATCCTGAAATAATAGCAATAAATGAAAAATGACCATGAAATTATCAAGAAGGGTTTTTGTCAAAATTCTTGTAAACCTACTGATTATTTGCGGCCAGATAATTTACAGTTAATATAATAAGAAAAATAGATTATGAATCAAAACACCCTCATTACAGACCTGAGGGTTCATTTTTTTGTTTATCAGATTTTTTATATGTAATATAGACCCAGATCTGAACTTATAATGGATCTTGTCTTTAGAGTTCTAAAAGTGTCCTATATAAATTAATATTTAAAGTATAACTAACTTTATTGGCATTTCTTAACACGAAAATATACATATGTTTAACAGATGATTCTTAAAGATTTCCTTCAGCATATTTCCTTTATAAAAAAATTAAAATACAATTATTTTTTTCTTTGTATTTTGTTATTCTGTGGGTGTGTTTGCAGCATCAACTAATTCTTATAAGTCACTCTCAGACAAAATGATACTTTATTTTGGTACACAAAAAATGAATAACATACAAAAATCAAGGTAAAAAGAAAAATTTATTAAAAAGAATGTGATTGAAACAAAAATATGTCTATAGAGTACCTCTGAAAATTGTCCAATGCTGTTCAAAATATTATATTTATTGTAACATTTAATTGTGACAAACAAAAATGTTTGCCCTTTTTTGTCAAATTGATCTCTTCATCTTATGTTGACATTTGAAGGGAAGCAGTGTGTTTGTGTGTGTTGGCTTGACAGACCATCAGGACCTGCTGGCTGCAGCCTCTCTGTCACTGCGGGCGCTGAAACACTAAACCTTTCCTGGAAACAGATTCCCAGGAACCCTCAGCTGAACTGAGCTGCTGTGTGACTGTGTGCAGCAGCATTTTTCACAGAGCTCACACTGCAGCTGTGCTCTTATGTAAAACGTAGACACACACAACGGATCCTCTCCTGTTCAGACTTATGGAAGCTCTAAAACCTTCAGTAACTGAAATCAGTTTTTAATGGTTGAAATACTTTCCTTTTTCCCTCATTTCAGGTAAGGTTGTTTCAGATATAGTCTCAGTAATTCTGGAAGGTTGAGTGTAATTCATGTAAGTCCTATGGTTACTGTTAATTAGATTGTTGTTATTGTTGTTTTCAAGTTGTCATGTGGATTCCAGAGGGAAAAAAATCAAAAATATATTGTTTTGTATACATTACAAGCTATTCAATATTGTTGCTATGAGATCTGATGGAGGCAAACAACAGCATGTTAGTATATATATATATATATATATATATATATATATATATATATATATATATTTATGGACCAATCGGAAATTTACATTAATGGACATAAATGCCATGAAAATCCAGTGCTTTGAAGAACAACCTCAGATAGAGCTTCAGTTTTTTTTAGGGAATTTCTCACGTTAAATTAATGAGAAGATTCTTTAAAACCACTTAATTCAAGCTTGACTGAGTCTATTATGCCGCATTCACTTCTTTTATTGTCAAAGATCTCCAAATCAATTAAACCTCCTTTACTGTGGACAGACTTTGATGTTCTTGCATCTTCCAGTTTGTGATATCTTCATTGTTGGTAAATTGTAGGTTGTTCTTGAACATCCCGATGAATTCTCATCCATCTAAGGGTCACATAGATTGTTACAATATGAGAATAATTGGCTGTTCAAACTGGGAAATTATCTCAAATACAAATAAAATGTTGCATTTTAATGAAGAATGCATGTTACCTAACACTACGATTCAGAAATAACCAAGACCTTAATCTAATAAGATATGTTTTATATTTCTATTCCCTTAAAAATAAGGCCATTGGCATAAATACTCTGAATGCTATCCATAAACCAGAAAACTAAATGTCTGCAATTACAGACGATAAACAAAAGGGAAGAAAAGGAGATCTAAGAAAAAACCCCAAAGACATATTTGTGAGATCATGAAGGTTAAAGTCGGTGTCTTTAGGATTTTATTCCACTATAGATTCCAACCTGTGAATAAATTTTTTGCAGCTACTTTTTTTTCTTCACCTTAAAAAGAAGAATCTTTTAAATAAATTTAAAAAATTATAAAAGTTAATAAATTATTGGACATTAGAGCCCTTGATAAGAGCATATGGATAACATCATGCCATAGCTTGTTTTTGGTGTTTTTTACATACACACTTTAGTCAAAAACAAAAAATGTTCATACTACACAGTTGCACTTTTATTTATTGAAATGATAATGCAACGTTAATTCCACCACTTCTTACAAGAGTAGATAAAAAAGTTTTTGATGTTCTTGAGAAAGTTTTCTAGAAAAAAATAAAAAAGAGGATTTTTTTTTATCCAGATGTCTTAGCTGGCTCTTAAAAAGGTTGCTTACTTTATCTAAATACTGCTGGGGATCAAAAACACTCAACTGGGTTAAGGATATGGTTAGTTGCAGCATGATTTATTAATGACACTTAGTGCTAAGGATAGCTATAGCTACAGCTATAGTCATGGATGATTGAAAAGAACAATACCTCACTGGCGAAAGACACATTTCTTGATACTACCCTCTGTATTTCCAGTTGGGACCCACTGTCAGTGCGTAATGGTTGCCCGGGCAGAATCCATTTTACATCATGAGGAACCTCAAAGTTCATGCTACCCACAGCCTTTGCCTCCAGCCTGGAACGCTGCTCAGGACCTCAATTCCATCACCACCAACTTACAGTATCTGCAGACCTCAGGTAAAGCATCAGATCAGAAAACATATTTGGGTCCTTTATAGAGTTTGTCTAGATTGGGTCGGAACCACGGGCCAAAGAGGTCCGTGGGCCTTTTAAATTGGACCCATATGGGCAGAAACTATAGGGAAGAAGGTCTTAGCTGGGTCTCATATGAATATTAAAGAAACTCTTTAGAAATGTAAAAAACACAACTAGAATCCATGATGCTCCCCTTTTTTAAATCAGAGGTATCCTAAATCAAATATGTACAAATATGTAACTGTTTCAGCTAAAGCTGAATCTCAAGAGTCTAATTTATCTGTAGGTGCATGTTGTAAACAGTTTTCTTTGATTGCTAATATGTTTCACCCACTGCTTTTGCCATTTAGAGGTGACCGACTTTTAGATATTTTTGGGACAGATAAAACATTTCTAAAAGTAAAGCTATATTTTCAGTGATCTTTTAGGAATGTTGTAATGTTTATGTGTAAAATTAAAATTACATTACTGGCTCTTGCACATGTCTTCCTAAATGGAACCCTGCAAGAAGCATTATATCTAAACAATGAAGAATCCTAATCTAAACATATTTCCTACACATATGTAAATCGTAACTGAGCAGTAAGCTTATTCCTCATATGCCTCTCTTAAACTGACAAAAACTGAATTAGTATCAGTTGGTAAATTAACACAATTAGTCTTGTTTTGAAAGAACAAAGCTGATTTACATTTCTAAACTCATATCCTCTCCCCAGGTTGGTATTGGGGCTCTATGTCAGCAAGCCAAGCTCGGGAAGTTCTTCAATCCAGGTCTGAAGGAACATTCCTGGTTCGGGACAGCAGCCACCCTCAGTACATGCTAGCCCTGTCAGTGAAAACACGCTGTGGACCCACCAGTGTGCGGATAGAGTACAACAGGGGCTGCTTCTGGCTAGACTCCACATCCCCTCACCTGCCTAAGCTACAAGCTTTCCCAAATGTTCCAAGCCTCATCCAACACTACACCACCTCAAGGCAGACACCGCAGGACCTGGAATCAGTCCAGCCAACAATTAAGCCGGACCTGATGCAGCATGCACCTAAAGACAGCGGAGTCCCTCTCAAACTGCTACGTCCATTGCTCAACATCAAGGGTTTTCCTTCTTTGCAGCACCTGGCACGCCTTGCCATCAACAAACACACAAACTGCACCGACCAACTGCCCCTCCCAAAGACTCTGCTGCACTACCTACAGAACTACCCTTTCTTCATATGAAGATGGCAGCCTTGTGGACCCAGAAGTGGCAGAGATACATGGACATGGTTGGGATTATTCTCCATGGCAGCATGCTGTGAATATGGAGCAGAGTCAGATCCTGCATCAACGCAGCATAAGTCCTGGGGGGGAAACGGAGATAGTCAAAATACAAGAAGTCTCAATGTTACCAAATATGACTGAACTCGGTCTTAGACCAACACATCAGTTTGTCCTAAAAGTAATTTTATATGTTTACCTACGCTTTTGTGAAGCGTGCACTGAATCCTATTATTTTTTATTCTTGGCTGTAAAAGTAAACCTGTGGATTTACCGTAACATGGTTTGCAATGACCTAACTTTTAAATAATAAAGCAAATTATCAGAGCTTTTGAGTATGAAAATCTCCCATCATTTACAGAAGGTTAAAAATGGAGACATATTTCCTACTTGTGTAATGTTTATATTTATTGTACTTTGTATTGTACCGAGAAGGACAACAGATTAAAAAAAAATCACCTTTGTGGCTAATTCTGGAATGCTTTTTGATATGCATTGCCCATTCTAAACAGTGCATATAATCAACATAATGTAGGAGAAACAGCAGTGTGACAAACTGTGGACCGATAAATAGTATCCAAAAAATACGGCAATTTTACTAAGGTAGTTCTAATTTGTTGACTTAGTTAGAGCTTACTTCTAATGGATACCAGAAATTTGAAGGAAAAAATAAAAAAATTCTTTAAGAAATTGAAAATAGTGTGTTTTTCTACTCCTGCTTCTTGAATATACATAAATTTCTGTTCATGTGTGACATAAAGCTATTATAAAACACATGTGATTGTAACGTTCCGAATGTGAATTTGTTGCAGGTTATTAGAGTGCAAATGACTGTAAGTAAATCATCTTATTTAATTCTTTTAAATGAATGTATGTGAATATAAAAAGATTTAGATCATTTTGTTATTAAAAAGGACCAGCAGCAATTTTTAACTATTTAATAGTTTATATATAGGATGTGGGATTTATTCATATTATTATATCTACAGGCTGATATGTTCCTTTTTTATAAGGATAGGAAAAACAACAGAGATTTGTTCTCATCTCATCAATGCCACTTTAATTCTCAGAAGTTCATCATTGTTTAGATTTCAGAGAAAGGAAAAATATTTTTCATCTATTTGAATGGCTGACCACTTTACTGTTCAGATGAATGAAAGGCATTATTGTTTTCATGGAAATGCATCTGAGTTGGCTTCCGCGAGCTAGAGCCAAGCAACACCGAGAAAGCCTCTTATCAGGATTAGAATAAGAGCTGCATGAAGCTATTCATTTGCTGCAGCACAGGCTGAGTTCAACATCTCTTTCTAGTTCAGTTTATCTTTAATAACAGAGAAAATCTTCTTATACTGAGCAGATATTATGTAAGAGCCTGCATTTCCTGTGGTTGTTATTAATTTAATGTAACTTTTCTTTCTTGCAGATCTCCAGCAGTAATGTTTGTATACTGTAGTTATGTATCTGTTTTACTCTTGTTCAATCTGCTGTGAAAGGCAATCTCACATAAGAGTATGGTGACAGCATCTTAATGCAAACGTAAACCGTGTATGCTAACTATTAAAAAAACTATAACTGTCCTAAATAAATATTTCTATTAAAGTAGGAAAATTATAAAATAAGATGTTTTGAAAAAAAAAAAAACAAACAAAAGAAAGATTTTACTTGGCTATATGTTTTCATTATACAGATTAGGTTTTCAAACCTTTTTTTCTTCTTTTTTTTGGCAAAATCACCAGAGCTAGCTTAATAACTAATGTTAATAGCTTACACATTGGACTCTTGCACCTATGAAATCTTGTTCTATTTTTCAAAAAGTCAAAACAAACAGAGGAAAGGACATTTGCTTATTCTCTTTGCACAGTATCTCTAAATTAGGGGTCTGCAAACTGCAAGTATTTCTTTGTTTACCTTCCTCAATGGCTAGCTATATACAGGGTAAAGACGTATATATATATATATATATATATATATATATATATATATATATATATATATATATATATATATATATATATATATATATATATATATATATATATATATATATATATATATATATATATATATATATATATATATATATACACTATATTGCCAAAAGTATTTGCTCACCCATCCAAATTATTGGAATCAGGTGTTCCAATCACTTCCATGGCCACAGGTGTATAAATTCAAGCACCTAGGCATGCAGACTGTTTTTACAAACATTTGTGAAAGAATGGGTCGCTCTCAGGAGCTCAGTGAATTCCAGCGTGGAACTGTGATAGGATGCCACCTGTGCAACAAATCCAGTCGTGAAATTTCCTCGCTCCTAAATATTCCACAGTCAACTGTCAGCTGTATTATAAGAAAATGGAAGTGTTTGGGAACGACAGCAACTCAGCCACGAAGTGGTAGGCCACGTAAACTGACGGAGCGGGGTCAGCGGATGCTGACGCGCATAGTGCGAAGAGGTCGCCAACTTTCTGCAGAGTCAATCACTACAGACCTCCAAACTTCATGTGGCCTTCAGATTAGCTCAAGAACAGGGCGCAGAGAGCTTCATGGTATGGGTTTCCATGGTCGAGCAGCTGCATCCAAGCCATACATCACCAAGTGCAATGCAAAGCGTCGGATGCGGTGGTGTAAAGCACGCCGCCACTGGACTCTAGAGCAGTGGAGACGCGTTCTCTGGAGTGACGAATCGCGCTTCTCCATCTGGCAATCTGATGGACGGGTCTGGGTTTGGCGGTTGCCAGGAGAACGGTACTTGTCTGACTGCATTGTGCCAAGTGTAAAGTTTGGTGGAGGGGGGATTATGGTGTGAGGTTGTTTTTCAGGAGCTGGGCTTGGCCCCTTAGTTCCAGTGAAAGGAACTCTGAATGCTTCAGCATACCAAGACATTTTGGACAATTCCATGCTCCCAACTTTGTGGGAACAGTTTGGAGCTGGCCCCTTCCTCTTCCAACATGACTGTGCACCAGTGCACAAAGCAAGGTCCATAAAGACATGGATGACAGAGTCTGGTGTGGATGAACTTGACTGGCCTGCACAGAGTCCTGACCTCAACCCGATAGAACACCTTTGGGATGAATTAGAGCGGAGACTGAGAGCCAGGCCTTCTCGTCCAACATCAGTGTGCGACCTCACAAATGCGCTTCTGGAAGAATGGTCAAAAATTCCCATAAACACACTCCTAAACCTTGTGGACAGCCTTCCCAGAAGAGTTGAAGCTGTTCTAGCTGCAAAGGGTGGACCGACGTCATATTGAACCCTATGGATTAGGAACGGGATGTCACTTAAGCTCATACAGGTGCTGGTCATAAAATTAGAATATCTTGAAAAAGTAGATTGATTTCAGTAATTCCATTTAAAAAGTGAAACTTGTATATTATATTCATACATTACATACAAACTCATATATTTCAGATGTTTATTTTGTTTAATTTTGATGATTACAAATGACAACAAATGAAAATCTCAAATTCATCATATCAGAAAATTAGAATATTGTGAAAAGGTTCAAAATTGATGGCCCCTGGTGCCACACTCTAATCAGCTAATTAACTCAAACCACCTGCAAAAGCCTTTAAATGGTCTTTCAGTCTAGTTCTATAGGCTACACAATCATGGGGAAGACTGCTGACTTGACAGTTGTCCAAAAGACGACCATCGACACCTTGCACAAGGAGGGCAAGACACAAAAGGTCATCGCTAAAGAGGCTGGCTGTTCACAGAGCTCAGTGTCCAAGCACATTAATAGAGAGGCGAAGGGAAGGAAAAGATGTGGTCGAAAAAAGTGTACGAGCAAGAGAGATAACCGCACCCTGGAGAGGATTGTGAAACAAAACCCATTCAAAAATGTGGGGGAGATTCACAAAGAGTGGACTGCAGCTGGAGTGAGTGCTTCAAGAACCACCACACACAGACGTATGAAAGACATGGGTTTCTGCTGTCGCATTCCTTGTGTCAAGCCACTCTTGAACCACAGACAGCGTCAGAAGCGTCTTGCCTGGGCTAAAGAGAAACAGGACTGGACTGCTGGTGAGTGGTCCAAAGTCATGTTCTCTGATGAAAGTAAATTTTGCATTTCCTTTGGAAATCAAGGTCCCAGAGTCTGGAGGAAAAGAAGAGAGGCACTTCATCCACGTTGCTTGAAGTCCAGTGTAAAGTTTCCACAGTCAGTGATGGTTTGGGGTGCCATGTCATCTGCTGGTGTTGGTCCATTGTGTTTTCTGAGGTCCAGGGTCAACGCAGCCACATACCAGGAAGTTTTAGAGCACTTCATGCTTCCTGCAGCTGACCAACTTTTTGGAGATGCAGATTTCATTTTCCAACAGGACTTGGCACCTGCACACAGTGCCAAAGCTACCAGTACCTGGTTGAAGGACCATGGTATCCCTGTTCTTAATTGGCCAGCAAACTCTCCTGACCTTAATTGTGAAGAAGAAGATGCAATACACCAGACCCAACAATTCAGAAGAGCTAAAAGCCACTATTAGAGCAACCTGGGCTATCATAACACCTGAGCAGTGCCACAGACTGATCGACTCCATGCCACGCCGCATTGCTGCAGTAATACAGGCCAAAGGAGGCCCAACTAAATACTGAGTGCTGTACATGCTCATACTTTTCATGTTCATACTTTTCAGTTGGCCAACATTTCTATAAATCCTTTGTTTTTATTGGTCTTCAGTAATATTCTAATTTTCTGATATGATGAATTTGAGATTTTCATTTGTTGTCATTTGTAATCATCAAAATTAAACAAAATAAACATCTGAAATATATGAGTTTGTATGTAATGTATGAATATAATATACAAGTTTCACTTTTTAAATGGAATTACTGAAATCAATCTACTTTTTCATGATATTCTAATTTTATGACCAGCACCTGTATGTGAGTCAAGGCAGGTGAGCAAATACTTTTGGCAATATAGTGTATATATATATATATATATATATTGCTCTGAGTTATTGATATCTAAATAAGCAAAACGCAGGTTTTAACATCTTTTTCTAAAAATTTTATTGAATGATTGTTTTTTCTTTCTGTAAAAGAATGATAGAACAGGTAATTATTTTTAGATATATTTTTCTTGTCATACGTTGGGAACTATGTACTTTTTTTTTTTCTTTAATGTATTTAGTAAAAACTGAGATAATACGCACATCCTTATATGGGTTATAGGGCTCAGCAGTCTGTTCTTCAGGTGATATTTGACTATTTACCAGATTGGGTACCCAATGAAAGTCGATGTAAAAGGCTGTTGTGTCTATAAAAATAAAAGTAAACATTATAAGTAAGGAAAGTAGTAACTTGTTCACTTAAAAACATCGACAAAGAGACGGATAGCGTGAGCTGCAAGTATTTATCACCATCATTCATCCCGTCATTTTTGTAGGATTGGGTTGACCCCGCCCCCTGACTTCCCTCCGGTTAATCCTCCAGCATCAGCAGCGGACACCAAGGCTAACAAAGCGCTACTTGACTTCAGTTGAGCAGGTTCTCCTATATTCACTACGTAAGTTTGTCTTGTTAACAAACAATAACAACATATATATAATCACTGGGCCTATTATTTACAATGAAATCAATTTGGTTTGTTTTTTAAAAATAGATTTTCTTCCGACGCTATGCCAATGTTAGCCACCTAGCTAACGGAACGATTAAAGTCGTCCTGACTTCCGTTATGCTAAGCTAATCTCGTTAGCCAGCTAGCCGCTGCCGGTATGCAACTTTTCATTGAAAATGATGGGCTTAGCTGTGAGAAAAAAGACAATAGTCTTGCAATGTTTTATAAATCGTATGGAAAATCCCCCGGCACTTATGATCACTAAATATGATATCACAATAACTGTTAAGCTACATCCTGCCGTGGCTAGTTAGCCTGTGCAGCTCACATAATGTCTTTAGTAAACAGAAATTTATTTTGACGGACTTAAACCAGGTCATGAAGCTACGCGGTGATTCGCGGAAAGGTTTTGTAAAGTGGGTCAAACGGAATAAATTACCAAGCCTTATGCTAGGCTTGGTAAAGCTATCGAAGCGGAAATGTATCATGGGAAAAAAAATAGGTTTCTTATTTTGCAAATATTAAGATCTGTCCAAAATTGATCAGCTACTTAAACGTCTATGCACATTATTTCTGATTTTTGTGTGTGTGTGTGTTTAATGTAGAGTATTCAGAGCCGCGATGATGCTTTGACAGAAAGCCAGGTATTTAGCCCTGGGTGTTGGTTTTAGTCGGGGGTTTGGGGTTGTGTCAACACAGCTGAAGACTGCTGGGTGCTCAGGGTTTATCACAGGCGCAACAGGGCTAAAAATGTTGCATAATAAAATGACCCACCCTGTTTACGACAGATAACAAATTTCTGGTACTGTGATATCTGTATTTTATCTTATTTTTTCTTTCAATTTTTGTCTGTTTTTTTTTTTTTAGCGATGGCAGCAATTAGGAAAAAGCTGGTTATAGTGGGAGATGGAGCCTGTGGGAAGACCTGCTTGCTTATTGTATTCAGTAAGGACCAGTTTCCTGAAGTCTATGTGCCTACAGTGTTTGAGAACTACGTTGCTGACATTGAAGTTGATGGCAAACAGGTATGCATTGTTTTCTCCTCCAAGTTTCAGACAGATTAATGTTAAGTTTCAGCCACCGATAGCAAAAAAGATAGAAATGTTCATTATCAATACCGTTACAAAAGTAATATATTTAACAAGCTGTTTGAAAATAAGATGGTCGTTTATATCCATTTAATTGTGTAGATGATTTGTTAAATATATCCTACGCCAATATGAAAATTTGGTCAGGCTTAACCTGCTAATATTAATTTAAGCAAAATCCCATTTGTTCTATAAATAATTGAAACGTAGTAAAATAATAATAGATTGGAATTGGTATTTCCTAAGGTTCAAACGCTCTCTTAATCACATAGTTGAAATTTACAGGAATACCAGCATTTGTCATCTATAAAGGTGCCCAAAGGTCACTATTTTTGCAGACCTGAAAGTGTACTGTGCACTACACTACAATGTACCTTTTTTTTCCAAAAAGATGTTTTAAAAAGTCATCCAAATTTAATTTTAAAGGCAAAGTTATGTGAACAGTTCCAAATCATCAGTTCATCTGCTAAAGCTATAAATGAGTGCTAAGCAACCTTTCTTTGTTAAATGGTTATATAGGATATCCAGTTGTTATACAGCACTTAAGTTAAAAATATGTTTATTATTATTAAAAAACTAGAAATATTCAGTGTTATTAAGAAATCTATTTTTCTTAGCATCACAAACAGCACTCTGTGTGTAGTCCATGTAGAGCAGGTTGATACCTCATTGAACTGTCACCTAGAAAAGGTATTTACTACTCCAGTTGATTAGCATATATCTCCAACAGAATTGGACTCTTAAAATAGATAAACTTGAGTATCTTTGATGTTAATCTTTCAATTGACTTTTAACTTCCTGTTTTGGCAGCCTGAAGGAAATCCAGGGTGCCTCTGGTGAAAACACAGTTACTTTTCTTGGGGTTTCTTACAGCTGAATCTTATTAAACATCTCATTGATACCGGAAGCAGTTGTATTTATCCAGTGCTCATGAACAATACATTAATTGACTGAAAAAAGATTTTTAGTTTCAACTGGTAAGTTCTCGATCATGGCACCATGAGTCGGTTTCAAGGTTTATGTCCATATTAAGGCACATTCGGGATTGATAATAAGGATTCTTTGTGACACTTAAGATCCATACTAAGATTAAAATTTGTTGTTAAGCAGGGCATGTTATATCCTGTCATTTATTTTTTTCTTCTAATGGACCATTAAACTGACATCAAAAACTAGCTGTATTAAGAAACTCCAAGATTTAAGGAACCAAATACATTATGTTCAGAATAAAATGGTTTAACTTTACATTATGAGTTTGTAAACACTTTGGTGGATTCAATGGTTTAAGTCCGCTGATAAGTTTAACTCTCTGCAGGTTGAATTAGCACTCTGGGACACAGCAGGTCAGGAGGACTATGACAGACTCCGCCCACTTTCTTATCCAGACACTGATGTCATTCTCATGTGCTTCTCTATCGACAGCCCAGACAGTCTTGGTAAGTACCAACTACAATCCTGTGAATGTTGTGCTTCCATTTTTATTATCTCATTCTCTAGAAACGGATTATTACAATTAATTTAGAATATTATTCACAAAAGAAAAACCCTTATGTTTTCATTCTGCAGCTGTTCTAATCTGAAGGAAAAATCTTTGTGTGCCTCTATTTTATTATTGATAAGGAATTTTATTTTAAAAACTTCTACATTACTGTTTAACATTAATGTAATATTTAACTTAAATTTACCTACCAAAATGCGTGTTGACAAAAGTGGTGTAATAACGTTACTAACCAGTCTGCAAAACCTGCTGCCAAGGAGTGGGGAAGAGTGATCAGGGCAGGGTTGCAGCTAGAGTGTAGGTAGAGAGAGGTATGGCACATATCTTGTTTTGGTCTACAGATGGTGCTTAACAGCCCAACTAGTGGTGACATTTCGGTTATAGTTCCTTTAGACTCAGACATTCATAGACTCAACTACTATGGCCTGTTTTAAAGTATTGCTAATTAAAAATTTTCCCTAAAATGGTTCTAAAGAAATTGATCAAGTATGAGGGGTTTTGGTGATACTTCCATGTTTACATTGTTACTACCTAAGTAGCATAATTGAGTTTTACAAGTGTAATCATGCAGGCACCATTCTGGGCTCAGTGTTCACATTATTCTCCGTTTAGGGTGAGGTGTTTATGATAACATATATACATTAAATTATATCTGTTGTGTCATTGCTGTGATTTCACGAGCATAGAGGTGTACCCCACTTAGTCTTTAAGGCTTCATATTCATTAAATTGTGTTTTTGCCGGCTGTTGATATAATGTATACATCCTTAGTAGCAACATTCTCAAAAATGAATAGTTGTTTTTCTCCTTTAGCAATATGGATATATTTTCTTAAGCAAAATTTGATTGCAGCTTTAATATGTGGATAACTTGATGTAGAAGTATACAGTTTTGTGTCTATAAAAATTTTTTTTTAAACATTTAAAAAAGTTTTTGTTTAGCTATACATTTTTTTTTTTATGTCAGTTTTAATGCGATTATAGTGCTCTACCACACTTTTTAAATATATGTCGGGTAAAAAATCATCAGCTTTGGGATCAGCTAAGGTTGGCTTCTCTGTTACCCAGTGAGTTCTGCAAAAATGTCATTTTAAAGATGTTTGGTTTAAGTAAACGTACAATGTACGGTGGTGGATGGCTGACGATTTGAGCTCATCTTTCACTCATTGTGTTTATTTATTTCTCTGTATACCAAGAATGAAATGGAAGACTACTCTCCTTAGTTTCAGCTTGGCCAGAATTGAACAGGACAGTGATCCCAAACACAGCAGCAAAGGTCATGCAGAAAACAACTTGAAACTCCAGACTTAGAAGGGGTCTTAATTCCTTCCAACAGTGTTTGTTTTATTTTTTGTGGTGATGCTTTCTGGGTACAACTTTCTGATTTTTTTTGTGTCTCATTCCGTTAATCAGAAAACATCCCAGAGAAGTGGACCCCCGAGGTGAAACACTTCTGCCCCAACGTTCCCATCATACTGGTGGGAAATAAAAAGGACCTGCGTAACGATGATCACACTCGGAGGGAGCTAGCCAAAATGAAGCAGGTAAACTCTTTACTCAGACCTGTGTGGCTGATTGTTTTACAGCTTTGAACTATCAGTATAAATTCTGACTGGTTCCATAATGTTATTCCAAGCCATCTATATTGTAAAAAATGATGAAAAGCATTGAAATTAAAATTATAATCTAGTAATTGGCTAGGGCTGCTGAGTTTTCAATAAGCCAATATATTAGTTGCAATAAATCCACATCCACAATCCATGTCAGCTGTTGGCAGTCCCAGTTGTGAGGCACCAACTGGTTGAATATTGCATTGGGCTTCAAAACATGAATTCATCACACAAACATAATACTGCTTTAAAAAGAAAAAAAATCCTTTGGGTTTATAACGTTGAACAGTGCTGTTTGAAAATTGATCTTCAACATATTGTGAAACCTTTTGGAAAGCATAGCTAAAACAGTCCCGATATCCCCAGAGAAATTAGACCTTTATCTTAACTCTGAGATTTTTTCTATACGCTTTACGTTCCTAAGTCTGGCATGTACAGTCTGGCATGTACCATGACAGGTAGTTAAAGCCTAAATGATAAAAGAGCCAAATTGCTGCTCTCTGAAGTGTAGAGTGCAGAATAACTTCATGTCAGTTAAAAAAAGTATATTTCATTAATAGATTTCTGGATCGGTTTCCTTTGACTTAAATGATGTTTACGATAGCTAACTTTTAGTAGAAGTAACCAATCTATTTATCTGTGCAATCTTATAGTACCATCTGAAAGAGATCAGATTTTCAACTTTCCATCAGGTCTCTCATCAGAGCCTATTTGGCCAAATATCAGATGTCACCAGCTGATATCTTAGTGCATGTCCACTTTTTACATCATGTGTGAACACAAAATCAGCCATCAATTTTCCTAAAATCCCATCTACGCCCCCCTTCTCCATAGGAACCAGTGAAACCAGAAGATGGACGGGATATGGCCAACAGGATCGGGGCTTTCGGATACATGGAGTGCTCTGCGAAAACAAAAGACGGTGTGAGGGAAGTGTTTGAGATGGCCACCAGGGCTGCACTACAGGCCAGGCGGGGAAAGAAGAGCAATAAATGCGTCCTACTGTAAACTGGGGCATGAGGACTGCTTCCTGCAGGGGGTAGAAGATGGAAAATTAGGTCAACCCTACCCCCACATAAACACAGACTGTTCTCCCCTGTTTTTACTAAAGGTGTAATGCTTCTACTGTTTTGTCTTAAGCGAAAGTAGTCAGGTCATCAGTATTCAACTTTAAAGTTATGGAAAATACTTTTTTGTACTTTTAACACAAGTAAAATTTGCCATAATAAGAAGTTCCTTAATCATGTTGTATGTCCTTGTAAGGGTCAGCCCAGGGGCCTGTTGTGTCATACTTGCCAACTACAGTAAAGTGCTTAAGCCCTGCCTGCTGATCTGAGGAATGTGTCCACGGCCAACTAGGGTGAAATACCTACACACTGTGACCTGTAGTCCTTTAACCATTTCAACAAACTGATGCACACACTGAGTCTCAAGTCAGCATTTTGCCTCATTAAAATAAATCCTTGGGTGCATCATTATACTGGAAACTGGTTTTGCTAAAAACACAAGTGTTTGTGTAATAAATTACTTTGTAAGAATCCTGATAATTTGCTTGACTTGACTGAGAAACACTGAATGAGAACCAGAACTTAAATGTAATACCGGCTCTTACTTTTTCCTGGGTTCAAACTTTTACTGTTGGCCAGTTTGTTTTTATTTTTTGCATAAGCATTTTAGTGTCGGTCAGGGGTCCTGGCTCAGCCATAGTGCAAAAAAAGTGCACACATAAGGCATGGTGGGCATTACATGTTAATACAAGCCACTCATTTAGCATTTTTGTTCTGTGGAGCCTGACGCTTAGGCTAGGGACAAATTTTTGCGGAAGCAACTTTTGATAAGCCCTGGAACTACTTCATAAAATATAAGTTATATGTAACAATCATGTTAACAGTTTGAAAAAATAAACTTGTCAGTGCTCCCTGGTGGACAAAGTAGCTCCTGCTGTTTCTTTTTTTATCCTCCCCACAGCCAGTATCTGTGATGATATATCCAAATAAACTGCTCAGACATGTATGAAACCTTCAAAATTATTTATTCATCATATATTTAAAATGAGATCTTGCAGTTTCTTGAAGTAAAATGCTACTTTATCAATTTATTTCAAGTCTTAGCCATGCCTCCACAAGGAAACAAAAACCTATATGCCATTTAAGAATGAGGTATACTGTAAGAAAAAAAAAGTTGGCTGCAAGATAGAAATGTTTCTAAACAGTATCAAGCTTGCACCTGAAAAAAATACCTTACATTTGGTATTAACTAATATTAATTTGATCCCAGGAACTCCCTTTTTTATGTAAGCTACAAAATGGGAACCTGACTTCCAGTTGTGTGTTGATTCAAGTAAAAAAAAAAAAAAAATCTGCATATTTACTAGATACTTACTCTGCAGAATGATCCTTAACAGGAAAGCAATTCAACACGTGAATATCACAAATTGTTTGTGTCAACCTGGTCGACACAGATTAAATGTATATGATGCAGCAGAGCAAAAACGCAAACATTATCATACTCTCAGGTAGGGCTGTTTGATATGGCTTAAAACCAAAAATTAAAATAAAATTCTCCTTAGCTTCATCATAGAAAAATGCCAGTTATTTAAAAATCACTTCTGGGAGTTGAACGGACTTCAATGGTGTGAATAATACTTGGAAAAACAACTTCACAGGCCCTGCCATTTGGAAATATGACTAAATGTTTGCAGCTAGTGGTTTTATGCAGCAAGATAGGTCGTCTGTTTTGATGGACAATGCGATTCTGAAATAAAGCCAAAGAAAGAATTCGTAAAAGAAAATCTCAATTTCCCAAAATTAGATGTTCCTAAAGAGAAAAATTAGGTTGATAAAATCCACTCCTGACTAGCATTCAAATCTGGCATTTTTTGTAGGTCTGGATGAGTACTGAATAAATACCTAGTACCTCCAGGTCACTATTTAATCTAAGTTCCTTCTTTTACATTTCAATTTAATTATTTAACCGTTTTCTTCATCTATTAACCCATCTGTTTATCCATTCATTAATCAAGCCATCTGTCAATCCACTCACGTATGTCCATCCTTTTATTAGTCCATCCATACATTCACCCATACATTTTTCTGTCCATCAATCCCATCGTGTTTCTGTGCATTTGTGAATTATCCATCAGTCCAATAATTTCATAGAAATAATACCAGAAGCGTAACACAGGTTTGGTATTTCTACCGTAAAAAATCGGACAAGAATAAATTGAAATAAGTAAAGTTTAGTCCAGAATTAGTATTACATGTGGCCATGAGTAGGAAACCTGTAGAATTTATTTGAAGCTCTTTATGTTTTCATGAATTACAGAAACAAAATACCAAATCCATCACCAAGTGAGACAACACCTTCCTGCAGAGTTCTATTTACACTGAAAATATAAACAAAGTGGTGCTTTTATGCTTCAATACATTTCTGAGAGGCCACATCAGGGAGTGAAGGAAACACAATCATTTGTGTTAAAGGTGTTCTTTTGGAGCAGACATTTCTCTAAATACCACAAAGTCTGTAGGTGAGCAGTTTGGAGCTCTTCTGTTGTACAGATACAACCAAGTTACAAAACATAGCAAAAACCTCACTTCAATAGTCATTCGTTCTTCTTTGGTGGGAGACCAGAATGGGCCAGAAACACTGGGAGCAAGGCGAGGGCTCCTAGAGCAGCTGCCACCAACGGTCTGTAGAAAAGCCAACCTATTCCGATTACGAGAAGAGACACTGAGCAGGAGAGGCACAGGGCGAAGATCTTCAGGCCGACTGAAACCAGATCTCTGAGGAGAGGAACCCAATCCACTGAAAGCACAAGAACAACCAAGACAATGAGTGAAGGATGCATGCATGATAAAAGCCCCTGTGTGCTGTGGCTGCACACCTATAGTGAGCATCAATTTACCCAGTGTGTAGAGGATACGTGTACTCAGCTGAATGCTGATGAACATGAGGGCCCAGCCTGCAGCTCTTAGTCCCCACGTCTTCATTTGGTTGTACTGGTGCTCCTTGGCAAAAACTTCCTGCCGATGGAAAAAGCTCAATAAGAAAAAATCTAAAACTTAAAAAAGAATAAAAGGGGGGATGATATAAATTTAAAAACCAAAAGTAAATCCACCCTGACCTCTGCAGTGAGCTCTTCCAGGTAGATAATTTCCAGAAAGTCTCCAGACTTTGTTTTAAATGGCAGCAGCTTCTGTCCTCGTTGCATGGCTACAATACTGACCTGGAAAGAAATGTAGGCCCTTTAATTTCAACAAAGACAATCGTTCCATGAAGTCAGAGAAAATTAGATCTACTGAAGCTTGGTTTTATTCATTTTAAACACTGACCACCATTTCTAATGGTAACATCTATTTTCTCTGCTTGTGTGAAGGTTTTACATTCCATCCCTTTTTATGGGATTCATTATTCAACTTAAACATTTCTCTACTTTGAATCAGTTTTTCATAAAAAGAAAGCCTACAGATCACACACTGCCTTTGACATATTTTCTGCTCCAACTGTTTTATTTGTTATACTACCTGCTTTTATCATGTTTGTATCTTTATTTGCTTTTATTTTTTTTCCATTTTATTTTTTAATTTGTGTAAAGCCCTTTGATATTTCCTTGTCCTGGATTGTAAAAATAAACGTGCCTTGCCTTCTGCAGTAAATAAGAAAAAACAACCTTAACTATTGAATAAAGACAAATAGAACTTAAAGCACCACATTGTAAAGATTTGTGGAAATAGCTTAAAAATATATATATTGATTTTTTTATTGCGGAAGCATAATGTCATACCGCTATTAAAAAGCCATATTCAATCAATAATTGTTAACTAGATCACTTGAATCATATGAACTTGAAGAGTCATGAAAAAAGGGATTTTGATGTTAACATTATAGGGATTCTTGTAAGTATAACATTTTTTTTAAAAAGTTAAGTTTCTATAGTTTTTTTAAATCATTTTAAGTTCTAGAAAATAACATTCGTACGACCTGTACAGCTTAGACGGGTCACCAGTTCATTGCAGGGTATTATTATGACAATATATTAAAAACTTTCTGTATAATTGCCTACCCTCGTTTCAAATTCCTTCCTGTTCAAAATCATCTGCCATTTCATTTGTCTTTTTTTCATGTTGTTCTTTCATATAAGAAACAACTAAGGTTTGTTTGCAATACAACAAAAGGGAAACATTTCAAAGGCATCGTACATTGGTAGGCAATTTAAAAATAAAAAGTAAAAAAAAAGCAACCTAAGATCTCTGTAAGCTCAGGCCTTTTATTCAGTTGGACATATTTGTTTGCTAAAGATGTAGTTAGCAACTGATTTGTGGTTATTAGTGTTAGAATTGGAGTACCTACAGTTAGTGGTGGGCCAAGACGAGTGTTCTCACCACTCAGTCCAGCGAATGAGAACCTCACACGGACATCCCCAACCTGATGGAATAAGAAAAGAAAAACAACAAAACATGAAAGAAGTTGACAGTGAATATTTATGTAAAATCAAACCATTGAGGCTCACCTGTGGCCTGAGGGGAAACTGAGTGTGATAGAAGTAATCATCATGAATGGAGAGGAAAGGGTCCAGATTAATGGCTGGGTAATCCCTTAGGCTCAGAGTCTGAAAGTTATTGATCTGCTCCACCAGGCCTAAGGAATAACACTCCAAATCAGAACTCCCAAATTTGAGACTCAACGTGACAAATTTTTACAGAATCAAATACCTTTGGACAGAATGAAAGGTCCCACTTGAACTTCATGAGCCACCACTGTCACACTCTCAACAGGCATAGCACTACGAATAAGAAAGGGAGTTTAAATCCCCCTGGGTGATAAACAATCGCCTGTTCACCTTTAAAACCTGCCAGTACCTCGGGTTCTGGTGGCCGATTTCCTTATCGAAATTACGACTGTTGACCAGCTCCGATTTCCACTCTGTGTCTAAAGAAATGAAACATGGCGTCTCACAACAGGTGGGGGTTTTGATACAAGAACAGCAGCAGGTGAATGTTGACACATAAATAAAATTAAAAAAAACAAAAACTCACTGTAAGTGTAGGTCGTCTCAGTTTTAGTTTCCCCATCCTCTTCATAGTCCCTGAAAAGATGTTAAGAGTTTAGGTATGTTGGATTCTTATACTTGTTCCCAGTCTGAGAGCTGACATGAAGGAAACAAACATACTTGCTCTCATGGTGCTCCACCCACTGATACATCTCCACCTGCCTTCTGAGCTTCACAGCCTGAACCACCACTCTGTAATTAGGGTCATGAAGGGGCTGGGAGACAAAGGCATGAGCACTCAGACATGAGATTCAGCTTAATGTCCCCAACATGGCTTTGAACATTATCACATTGTCAATGCAAAAGAGTAAACAGAAAATGTTACCAAACATAAAAAACAAAATACAAAAAGAAAATCTATCCAAAATGTATTTTTTGAATAAATTATCACAACTTTTTCTTACAGTTTTTTTTATTTGTTCCTCAATTTTTCTGTAATATTTGATTACATCTGTTTGCAGTTATTTATAGTTCTTATAAAAAAACAAACAAAAATAAAAGTTGCAACACTGATACCAGTAATTATTTTTCTAATAGATTCATCCGTCAACCGTTGTGTTTGATTAAGTGATCAATAATCAGACAGCAAAAGGTACTTCAGGAAATAGTTTTACTGATTGGAACAAGGTGAAGCTCAAACTATGTTACTTAAGGACTTCTGGGTAGAACGCATCTATAAACCAATAAAGGTTTTCATTAGACATACAAAATGCTTGTAGTTTTTGTATGCCTTTGACATAATTACTGCTCTTAAAGGGTTGGTCTTTCAGGAAATGGCATTGGTTAACGGGTGCTTTATTACTACTTTAGTTGTCATTTATTTCAGTAATTGATTAATGTGATTGTTACAGCCATAAAACAACAAAAAAGTTTGAAATTTGAGGTTGTAGAAGAGGCTTAAAGGTATCTCATCAAACGTAAACTTACATATCGCACAGAAATCTGATTATTCTGTATTATTCTGATGTTATTAAAATTATGCAAGACAAATTAACTGACATTCAGATGGAAACCAGAACCTAACCTAACCTGCTAAAACACTTAGTTTCCTTTTTTTCCAACATCAAGTACCTTGGATGTTTTGATACTAACGGATCAACCAAGAGTAGCATCCCCTTTGCTTCCACTTCACCATTTACCTTCACGCAATTGAATAATTGAACTTCTCACACTGGAGAAATATATCTCTGCATTTAACCCATTTTACCCTTTGGGATGCCAAAGGTCAGCGCCTGGGGAGCAGTGTGGGGTTAAGGGTCTTGCTCAGGAATCAAGAGTGAAGGCTATGGGGTTCGAACCGGGTAATTGCACCCTTCTCAGAGCACACCACTCCCTCGCTAAAGACATGAAAACATACGTTGCCTACTCATCACCACATTTGAATTTACCTGCAAACAATGATTTCCGATTCAGCTTTTAGATACAATCATAATAACTAAAAGGAAATGAGCTAAAAGTACAGAGTTAACATGACAGCCTACCTCTAGAGTACGTAGCTGTGCAGACAGATGAACTAAACGGTCATTGTTCTGGAGGTCCAGGCTGGAATAAGACCCCAGCGATACAACCTGAGAGAGACCCTCATCCAAAGAAGAAGCTGTTTGTAGAGTTCGGCCCTAAAGAAGAGAAACACGCAGAAAGAAAATATTCTAAAACTGTGGAAATTAATTATTTCACGCAGCATCCGCTGCAAAAGCAACGTGAGACACTTTAAAGCAACCAGCTCCACTCTGTCTCTTACCTCATTGGTAAAAAGAATATAGATGGAGAGAAAAAACAGTCCGATACCAAACACTGTTCCTCCAGCTGTCTCACCCAGACGCTCCAGAAATCCAGGTTTGGACTTAACAGAAACACGTCTGTGTTGGTCAGAGTCTGGACCTGAAAACTTAGTAAAGGCAATGGCACACACAGTCAAATAAAAGCAGAAGAAATAAAAACATACAGTAAAAACGTATTAGTGATGTAAAGCAATTTATCACTTTACTTGGATTTAGTTTTACATATGCATATATAACTGGAGCATGTAACAAAGTCATTTCCCTCTGGGATTATTAAAGTATTTCTGATTCTGATTTAATCTCCCAGTGTTACCTTTCCAAAGTAAGAGGGCAAAAACAACAGATATTGACCATTAAATTGGTCTATGGGAAGATAAAGGAAAAGTTAACCAATCAGGTGTTAGTCTCTTTAACAAGCCATTAAAATAAAGCTGGTGCCATTAATGCAGATGTTTAAGGGCCTATTATAGAACAGACATTATACATAAGCAAAGTTAAATAATTATCGACTATTTTGATTAAAATATTTAATAAATCCAATTCCTATTTTAATGTTTAATTAGTGCTTGTTTACATCTGAAAATATTACATAAAAAGGTTAAGCTCTAAAACTGTGCTCCTCAGAGCTTTGTTTCAATTTGCACACATATGATCAGTTCAATAACAATTAGGATTATATATTTGTATGTTTTGAAAATCGGTAAATGAATGTTTGCCACTGATAATAAATGTTACCAAATTTGGTGATTGGGCGTATAGTGACATACGATTACTTCCTACTTGTTTCATTGGTCTTTTACTTTACTATTATACAATATTGCCCCTATAAGTTGTTATAAGTGCACATATTTAGAATTTGACCAACTGTGGCATTAAAATTATAAAGAATGATTTTTAGTTAGACGGTTTATCTTAAATGACTGAAACTTGGTAAGGCGGTACTACAAGTTCTAGAACTGTATAAAATAGCCTGTAGCTTAGTAGATAACAAACTTAAGTATGTTCAACGATATAAAACTTAATTAAAGAAAATAATAACTCTCACTTTCTGTTCCGAAGACATTCTTTCGTTAATTTTACCTCTGCAGACTGGAATCACTAAGATGTTAGCAAACTGACGTATATACAAACGACTCCCCGCCAGGGTTCGTTTTAAATTCAACTCGGACTGTCCCGACTTCGCCAACGAAGGGCGGTGTCATGGAGAAACACAGATGCAGAGCAGCCAGGGCCGCTTGGTGAAAAGCTACAAGCGTACTGTACAAACGTGTACAAACGTTTATGACCCTAATCTGACCTTATAAGCGTCGAGAACTCTGGGTAATGTAGTCTTTTTTTGACATCCATTGATAACTGCTGCTTTTAGAGTGAATTTCAGTATAGGCACTTTACAGTTACGTCTAGATATAAGCAGGTAAATAAAAACGTGTGAAAATTAAACTGACTTATATTGAATAATGATTAAAACAACCAGGCACTTATTTTAAAGGGATATTTCCATTTTGTTTCCATGTAAGACTAATAATATTTTCTTACATGAAAATATTTAATCTATTATTATTCTTCTTATTATTATTATTATTATTGTAAATATTATTATAAAAAGAGATGCATTAATAAAGAGTTGTATGTACATCTTCTTTGGTAAATAAACGTGTAACCCCTGCAAAAATGTAACTATTTAAAATGTTTTATATCACTTCTCCAAAAACTTTATATTACTAATTTATTTTTGTAGTAGTTTTATTTTTAATAGATTTCTGACCATGATGGAGAAATATTAAACTTTATAGAGGCAAAAAACACAAAGTCTCTATTTAACGTATTATTATACGTTAAATAGAGACTTTGAGTTAGCAGGGACACTTTCTGCAGTACAGATAATTTTATCTTAATTTCTCTAAATACATTTTGCTCAAAACATAACCTTTTGAAATTGATTATACTATAAAAATACATTAGGGAGTTCGTAATCTCTTTAAACAGAACACAACTTAGCGCTCTACTTCATTTTTGCACCATATTTATTTAGAACTGCACTAAGCCTTTCAATAGCAATGACTTTACACCATGACTTTAAAGTGGTTTTCCCTTTTTCTTAAACTATCTACATTCTTAATCACTGCTGCAGTTTATAAATGGTTATGTTCATTTCACTGTTGTAGGCTGCTCATTCAATGTTGTAAGCTGTATGCATCGAAATTTTATTCTGCATACACTCTGTTTATCCAACATGACAAAAGTTTGTCTAAGTTTAACATTGACTAAATATACAAATTTATACTTAAATTTCCTGTTAATTATTTTCATTCACTAATAGCAGTAACGTTATATAATACCATAACCCACAGCTAGAATGAAACGTGACCTCTTAGCCTACTCATTCTCCCAGACACACAGTATTCATATATGTGCCCGTCATAAGAGGATTATTGCAAAGAAGAAAGCAAAGCAATTAGTCTCACAGGCCATTCTGTCTCCTGTTTCTCGACACAGACTTTGTAAACTGCTATCAGGGGAAGCAGCTGGGATTGGAGCAGAGACACCAACATGATGCAGGAGTATGATATAATAGTGCTTGGAACTGGAATCAAGGTAAGAAAAAAGCTAGTGTTCATATGAAATAATCAACATGCAATATAAGGGAATGTGCATGCTTCTGTCAGCTCTCTTAAGCTTTTTTTTTTTTTTTGCGGGGACATAGTGAAGAAATTGAATGCCATCTTCAAAATACTTTGTTGAAAGGAGTTAGCAGATGGTTCAGTAACAAATATGAAGAAAAACAATGACAGCTGTCATTTCTCTTTCCAGTTTCCTTTTTGCAGTCCTAGATAGAATATCTGCAGAGGTGGTATGATCTTTATGACTACAAATAACTTCAATTTCAAGGTCAAATCATAACTGAATGCTATATATCTGCACCAAACATCTTAAAACACGCTAAATGATTTGTTCTTTTTTGCTTTTAACAGTAGAACGGACACTACTAAAGAGAAATGTTTTGCTGGAAATTCTTTCCCCTTTTTTCCACCACATTTTCATGGACCATCATCCTGCAGACCCACTAGGCTTCCCTGAAGGGGATTTAATCAGTGACATCATGGCATTAGTGCTGATCTGCCTTCACACAAACTGATAACTGCTGATTCCAACAGCTTTTGACCTACTTCCCATATTCTTCCTTTTTACCAGGAATGTGTCCTATCTGGCTTAATGTCGCTGAGTGGGAAAAAGGTCCTTCACATTGACAAGAACTCATGCCATGGAGGAGAAAGTGCTTCTATTTCTCCCCTTGAGGAGGTTAGTTTAACGCATATTTCACACTGTAGACATGAAGCAGTTACAGTTTTAAAAATGTAATATATTAGAGGCATGTTGCTCCTATTGCCTAAAATCCTTTTAATGATAAGCCAGAGCAAGCGTAGGGGTGATTAGTTTTTTCTTCTGTGTAGAATAAAGAGGTGACAGCTGATCAGCGTACCCCAGATTTGACCTTTGAATTACCTTAACAACATGTCAACAAGTACCTCCAAAGTAATCTTGACAGACATTAGATTTAGTAGAAGCAACCTGTTATCCCACACTGATGGTGGGATACTGGAAACTTTAAGAGATTGATGTCCATAAAACCTCAAAAATGCTATGCCCAGAAATAGCATCATGTAAATGTGAGTATTTTTTTCTTAAAATAAGTGTATTTTTTCTTGAATTAAGCAGGTAAGTGAGACTCTTTGACCAATGGAATAAGACAATTTATGCAATAAGTTATTTATTATTTCAAGTCCATAATATCTAATTATCTTATTTTTAGTTTAAAAATACACCTTCCATTGGCAGATTATCTTATTAACCTATAAAAATTAAGGGTGAATGCACTTATTTTAAGAAATTGTACTTATTTTTAGACAGCTTTTGCAGCGTATTAAAGTTGAAATACATTTAAGCAGCAAAAATGATCTAGAACAGTGAACATTTCTTAAATTAAGTATTTTTCGTCTTCATTTAAGTGTGTAAAAGAGATGATTTGCCAATGAAATGAGTATTTTACTATCAAAATAAGAAAATTAGATATTATGCACGTGAAATAAGTCCATGCAATTGTTTTTTTTTTCTTGTTTTGAATGTAAATTTTCTCATTCCATTGGTAAAGTGTCTCACTTTCCTCCTCAATTCTAGAAAAAAATTATCTTATTTTAAGAAAAAAAAGACTTATTTGATTTTCCGTTTTTTGCACTGAAGCTTTCTGGTTTTGAATCGAAGGAAATAATGATTTTTCACCAAATTTCAGTATGAATACCTTGGGAGTGTTAACCTAATATTTACCTGCCCATGTTTGGCAGACGCAACTTTTCCTCTTTGCACAAAGCAGTGTACACCATCACTGGTATTAAATGCTGTTTTTGTTACAGCTGTACAGGAGGTTTAAGGTTCCTGGCCCTCCTAAATCGATGCGTCGAGGGAAGGAATGGAATGTGGACCTCATCCCAAAATTTTTCTTGGCCACTGGTAAGTGTAGGGAATCTTGGGTTATTAGTAAAATTATTGTTTAAGGCTTAAACTAAAATCAAGTGATGTTTTTCCTTCAGGCCCCCTGGTTAAAATATTGGTGCACACTGAAGTGACTCGCTATCTGGACTTCAAAGTTGTGGAAGGAAGTTATTTATTTAAAGCAGGCAAACTGTACAAAGTCCCTGCCACAGAGGAAGATGCCCAGAGCTCAGGTGACATAGATCTGAACATTCAATCTGCCTCTACATTTAAAAATATGAAACAATGTTAAAATGTTTTATTTTCAGATCTGATGGGCATGTTTGACAAGAGGAGGTTCAAGAAGCTGCTGCACTTTGTTCAGAACTTTGACATAAGAAACCCCCGCACACACCAGGACGTGGATCCTGAAAAAACAACCACAAGAGAGCTGTTCAGCCGCTTCGACCTGGGACAGGATGTTATAGAGTTCACAGGTCACGCCATAGCCTTACACTCCAGCGAGAGGTCAGTGAAGACCGTCAGTAAATCACAGTGATCTCAGACGGCTCAGAGGTCTCAGTCTTTGTCCATATTCTTTCCTGTATTGCAGCTACCTGGATCGGCCCTGTTTGGAAACCATCAACCGGATCCGGCTGTACTGCGAGTCTTTGTCTCGCCACAACACCAGTCCATACCTGTTCCCCCTGTACGGGCTGGGGGAGCTACCGCAGGGATATGCCAGGTGCGATGCAGACACTGTTTCCTTAAAGTATGTAGAGCATTGGCTTGAAGGACAAGCCAGGACTTTTCTCTGTGGAATTTATGTATACCTGGTTATTATAGTTTTATCTCACGACCCAGAGTCTTGCATGCCGGGTTATTGGCGGATTTGAATTGCCAACAGGAGGTTTTGTTTTTTTTTGCTTTGATAAGCACCTCAAATTTTTTCTGGAACATCTCATTACATTAAATAGTTGTTTAAGGCTTAAGTGTTGATTTTTCTGCTATATTTTAAAATGAAATGTGTAATAAAGTGTGAAGACACATAGATTAAGTACTAAACAAACATAGTAATAGTCATTTATTGAGTGCGTGACAGAAATATCTATTTTAGTAAGGTAGATGTCTCCTGTGTGCAGAAACTAGTGGCTCAGATATTGAGTTTTCCTGACTTTGCGTTTGGGATCCGTCACATTCCTTTAGTATCAGTAATTAGTTGCATTTTCCCCCACAAGTCTTTGTCAGCTTTAGGTAAAAAAAATAGCCCCATACCATGCTGTCCCTACCTCCAAACCGCTCGATTGCTGTGGTTGTTATTGGGGTGATCTTTAAAAAGTCATGTATTTGATAACCTTTCAGATTCTTTTTTATTTCTTTTTCAGTAAATGATAGGAAATATTTTCCATAGTTGATTTCATCATAAAAACCTTTTTTTTTTACAGTTCTGTTTATGAGAGCCAGTTGACCTCACTGGAGAGCTCTTTATAATGGAGTACTTAGAGAGCCTTTTGCTTTTTACCCATCATGGGATACTTCCTGTATAACACCTTGGCGATATTTTCGTAGGTTATCAATTAGTATTAAGCCCTTATTCCTTTTATTATTAATTTTATTATACATATACATGTGTAGATTCATTTGGTTATTGACATCTGGTCTCAATTTCTGCTCTACGATGTTTTAGTTCTTTCAGCATTAGTCTATTTGTTCGTTTCAGGGTTTTTTTTTATTTCAAATATGTGTGTTTTACAGACTGAGTGCAGAGTATGGAGGAACCTTCCTGTTGAACAAGCCAGTGGATGAAATCATAATGGACAATGGCAAAGTGAAAGCTGTCAAATCGGATGGGAAGGTGAAGCAGATGGGAGGCCGTAGGGGGAAATTTGAGTTGAAATGTAGGGTAGAGGTACACCTCACTAAATAATGTTCTCTTCCTTTTCCCCACAGCTTTTTCTCTGTAAGCAGTTAATCTGTGATCCCAGCTATGTTCCTAACAGAGTCAGGAAAGTTGGACGTGTCATACGAGTTATCTGCTTATTAAATCATCCAGTTAAAAACACTCATGAGGCCAGCTCCTGTCAGATCATCATCCCTCAAGCGCAACTCAACCGAAAGTCAGGTGGATTTATTTTTAAAAACCAACTTTCTTACCCTTAATGACAAAGAGCTAGCAGATGTTTTAATCCTGAATGAATATTTGTGGATGTCTCCTTCTGTTTTGTCCATGCAGACATTTACATATGTGTGGTGTCCTACAGCCACAGTTTGGCCTCAGATGGGATGTACATCGCCACCGTGAGCACGGCTGTAGAGACCAACAATCCAGAGAAAGAAGTGGAGCCCGCCTTGGAGCTTCTTGAACCCATCATGCAGAAGTTAGTGATGTGATGAAATCCTTCTATTCTCCATTTGCTTTGCCTTTTTAGCTGAATGGTTGTAATTTTAGTACGGCTATTATAATTCCAGATTTGTGTCCACCACCAACCTGCTGGTTCCAAATGAGGATGGAAGAAAGAGTCAGGTAAAGAGAAATCAGCAGAGGCAGGCAGAATTACACAAACATCCATCAGTAGCATAAATGTCAAGTTAATAATGCGTCAGATTGAGCTTCTAAGCATCGCATTAGGATATTAAACAAGGCTGAGGTCAGGGCTTAAATCTGAGCCTAATTTTCGGCCTGTTTCATCCATTGATGTCTGTTCAGGACCATGGTCTACTTTTACAACCTTTAACTCTGTTCTGGTTGGAACCATCTCAATGCTGATAAAAAAGATTCAAATAAAAATGTTTATTATTCCACCCATCTTGGCGGCGCAACAGCACCTCTGCTACTGATCAGCTATACGTTGCTTCAACCACATGCTCAACAGTTGGAACAGAGAGTTTAAAAACCAATCTTCTGCTGATCAAAGCATACACTGTGATTATGATCAATAAGCTCAAACCTTTTATTGGTTGATTTTTTTTAATTTTTTTATTGGATCATGTCTCAGGAGTTCATGCATTTATTGGCTCCCTGAGCTCAGCCTAAAGTATTTGGAGAATCTAAAGTATTAAGAGAATCATGCTGATAAATGTAAAAATTTGACTCAAAATCTGAGTGAATGTTTAAAAGTCTGGTTTTCTTCTCTCCTCTGTTTCTCTTCCTGGTTAGATTTTTGTGTCCCGTTCATATGACGCAACAAACCACTTTGACTCAGAGTGTGAGGACATTAAAGACATGTACCGCCGGGTCACAGGAGCAGAGCTCTGCTTCGGGGGACCTCGGAATCTGTCTCACGACTCCGATGACGACTGAGAGACGCCCTCCACATCAGGAAGATGTGATAAAACAGACAAGAAAAAGAGCGAAAACGGCTGTGAAACACAGAGTGCAGCATGAACCGTGACATTTAAATGTTGAAATCCCCTTCTCCACTGATTTGATTTTTATAATTTGTTGTTTGAGGAAGCTTGTAAAAGTGGAGCTGTGTAACATTAACACTGTTCCCTCCCTGTGTTATTTTTTCCCCTCCATATAATAATTCCTACATTGTATTGTAAACATATTAATAGAAAGAGATTTAGCTAAATTTCTGGGGGTTAGTTTGATAATTACTTAAATAGCAATCATGTAGTTCTGCATGCATTACCAACTGAGACTCACTTTGAAAACATCCTTTTTGCAACTATTCCAGGTAAAAGTAGCTCAGCTGCAGACTGCTTGTGGGTTTAACTGTGATTAGGGATGAATCGAACATGTAGGGGATTTGCGGATTCTCTTCTATGCTGGGGGCTTATGTGTCAGAAGGACAAAGCCAGTGAATCATATCATATGCTGCACAGGCAACTTGTTTGCTGCAGAGCTGCTGCTGCTGCTGCTGCAGGAGGAGGACACACGGAGCAAAGAGGCTTATCCAGATAAAGGACAACTCACCACAAATGACCTCCTCACCTCGGCACAGGCTGCTTCACATTCCCACATATTATGTCCTTTGTTTTGTTAGTGGATTTTATTGTTTACGTGATGCTGAGCAGACTGAAAACTACAAATACAGCATGATGGAATGGTTTCGGTAGACAAAACAATAAATTAATGAAACTGTGGTACTTAATAAATGTATTTTTAAACACACCAGTCTATACAAATGCTTTAATTTATACACAAGGATACAGTTTTACTCGACTCTTGCTTTTGCTTCGTTCTCTTTTCCTGTTTATTTTTTTGACAGATAGTATTTACTTCTAAAGTGGAATATTATACACATTTCCACAACTTTTTTTGACTTTGGAGGAAATTCTCATGTGGCTCTCTGGCTTGCATAGGAATGCCTGAGACTGACGGAGGCTGCCTCAAGCTTCAATATTCATAAAATAGATAAGAATTGCTTTGCTCCTTTGCGCTGAAAGCCTTACTACCCTCTTACTTGGATGTGAACCTATGCCTTAAAGGGCTTCCACTCTTAAACTAATTTTGAGTCCCAACATTTAGTCCTGCTTCACTTCCAGAGCCGTGCTGTAAGATGGAGGAATTAGACCAGCAGCCACCAATCTTCTCTCAGTGTTCAGAAAGTTGAATGTTGCACAGGCGTTTGGCTGCAAAACAGTACAAATAAATAAAAACAAGGATAAAAAATATAACTTAGGTAACTTATTCTAATTGTTTTATCGTAACAAAATATTTTTTAATTTCATAGCAAAAACAGACTGAGTGGTCTTTACCGTGTCCTGCACCTCCACAGCGATGCGTTTCCGCTTTAGCAGTGCAAAGACAGAGGGGTCAATTCGTTCGACGTGCGTTCCTGTGCCCAGCACCAGAATCTCTGCAGCAGGGTGGTAAAAAAAATATATATTTATATAGAAAACAAAAAGTTAATATTTCTAAATGAAATACGTCAGAGGAAAATTAGAAACATGCACAGACAGGAAATAAATATAGCCATTCACAAATAATGGCACATTTGTTAAAGATGTGCAGGATCTTCAAAAAAATTATTCCAGTATAGGTGCTCCAATTACATAGCAGTTAAAAATTAGGTGCATCTGCTCAGTAAGGGAAAAAAAAAAAAATGTAAAAATACTCAAATTCACATCCGCAAATTCCTTTATACTTCGTTTTTTTTTTACTATGTAGAACATTTTAACTAATTTGTCCCTTGGTGTATAAACAAACAGACCTTTTTTCATGACGTGGGTCTAGAATAAAACAAATGATGAGTATGTGATAAAGACCACGAATTTTTACTGTTAATTATTGGATCAATGATGCCGTAGGCTGGTTTGTCCTCCAAAAACATCAAAACTGCTCTCTCTTTGAGAGTGTGCAGCATCATGAACTCTTTGAAATCCTTAGACGGTTTGTATCAAAGTCTGCCTGATTCATGACGTATGATAATGATCCAATACATTTAGTCATATTATCACAGAAACAGTGCAAACGACACTTTATCAACAATCGTGTCTCTTTCATTTTTTAGATTAGAAGCCAACTATGCACAAGAAACAAAAGGTTTTGGAGGAATTTCTTTTCATAAAATAATATAGAAAATTATAAAAGTTGTTTTTTATTTTTTTCTTTGCCATAATAAATTAAATATATATATAAAAAATAAAAAAAAGAATATGGTATATATTCATTTCATACTTATTTAGTAGTAGGGAAACGTTGAATAAAAAAAACTTTACTCCTTTCTTTATTATTTTATGAACAGAATTTTGAAAAAAATTAACAATTATATGGAGTATAAACCTTCAAACACGACGATCTCGTGTTGTATAAAGTTTCTTTATTATTGTGTTAGTTTTCTATTTGATCCCTTATAGTTATTTTATTACTTTTTTAATGTCCAGTAATTTCAGCTGTATCTGGTGCTAAAGTTTAAATTGTTGATGATATCTTAATATCAAACACACTATTTTATAATTACTGGAACAGCATATGAGAGTTGAAGTAAGTGATTAGGTGAGTTAATTCATGTACCACTCTGTATAAAGTGTGTTTACGGCAACCTGAACAACAGGGAATACTTTTGCAAGTATGTCATATGTCTTTGTTTATTATGACTTCTACTAGAGCTAAAAGGCTGAAGGAAATACATCACTACAAAAAAAAAAAAAGATAAATGTTAAACTTGGACTTTCCATAAATCATTAGTTTTTTTCAGTAAATGATCAAACATCTGTGCGATCTTATTGTTTTTGGTCGTACCTATAGGTGGTTCAAGCATATGGAAGAGTGAGATGCTCTCTTCTGTGATGTCTTTATAACTCCCAACCTGCAGAAACAGACATTTTTTTTCCCCATAACTTGGAACATAAATCTTTTAAGGGGCTGTTTGGAAAGTGATCTCACGTTCCACTGCAGGATGGCAGGAGGAATCACGGCACAGGGTCCAAAAACCCGATTTCCGTCAATGTTGAATCCTGCAGAACTGTAGCTGTGTATCAGGATCCCACTGTCGGCCTCGTTCTTTATGACAGATACTGTGGTCCGCTGGTACAGCTCATCGTCGCCCGGCTCTAATCTGTGAGCCCTACAGAGAAACGGGCTGCAATCAAAGACATGAGTAATAAATTCTAGGTCTCCATGCAACATCGCTGGCATGGTCTATGTATACTTAAGCAACTGGGTAAAGCTTCAGCACAACATGATCATAAAGTACAGATTTTTTTTTCATATTATTTATCAGGAGCAGAAAAATATCTAATTAAAATTCCACATGATTACAGGTTGAAGAGAAACTCTTAAATTTGGAGAAAATGAAGAAAAGCCAGTGGCGTAGTGGGTAGCACGGTTCTGGGTTCAATTCCTTTCTGCATGGAGTTTGCATGTTCTCCCTGAGCATGTGTGGGTTCTCTCCGGGTACTCTGGCTTTCTCTCACAGTCCAAAAAAATGAATGTTGGGTTAATTGGCTTCTCTAAATTCTCCTTGTGAGTGTACATGAATGGTTGTTTGCCTCTGTCCAGGGTGACCCCGCCTCTCGCCTGTAGACAGCTGCAGATGGGCACCAGTAGCCCTTGCGACCCCGCTTTGGATAAGTGTGATAGAAAATGGATGGATGAAAGAAAAACCATATAGACCTGTGATTTCAGTCTGCACTTTCCTTAATTTTTTTGGAGAACAGGCTGCACAGGTCTGTCATATGAATCAGCTGCAATATACTTCTAGAGCTTGAGCTAAAGTACCTCTTAACTAATAGAAATTTGAAAACAGAAAACCTATTTCATAACTATAACATGACATTAGAATGACCTACCCTCCTAGGAGATATAATCCACAAAAAGACGACATGTACATAAGTGAATTGTTGTTTAGGGTTTAAATATTTAAGAACTTTAATGAAACAAACCTAGAAAATGCGGGTGCAGCTCTCTGGGATAATAGAAACCCCCCTGTTGATCTCTGCAGCAGCAACCTGGTGCGGACGGCAGCGGCCATGTTTGAGCCGGTGATACACAGGGGGACGGATTTCAGTGTAACACCACCCCCCTCACTGAGTAATCGAGCGTCGAAAAGTAGATTGATAGTTTGTAGACGTTGATAATAGGGCTTGGTCGTCGTGACGTAGGCACTTCGCGTCGCCGCCATGTTGAATGCGTCTTTTACCGCGGCTCAGACTACTGCCTATGACTACCGGGTACTGTACTCCCTCTCAGCCGTGTTTTAATTTGATTAATTTCACCTTAACTTGATTTCAACCATGGTAAACCGTTGCTGTATTGTGGGCTGTAACAGCTCAACGCATGATCGCCATGGAAACATAGAAAATGGGTTAACTTTCCACCGCTTTCCTGAATTGACGCGTAACCATGGAGACCAAGCGTCAGAGATATAGAGTCGTCGGCTTGCTTGGATCGCGGCTGTAAGACGACCGAACATAACTTTCCACAGTATTCCAATGTCATTGAGAGTGTGTTCCCTGCATTTTCATTCTGGTAAGTTAAAGATGCACGGTTTTATTTTATAGCCTGCTTTGTTTCTTTCCTTCAAAGTTGGGATCTTTTACGGGAAAATAATAAAAACGGCAGCGGGAAAAGGCTCAAATACGTGAGAAACCCGGAGGGTTGGCAGTTAACGTTACTAACTACACCTTTGAAACACATAGCAGCTAGTTAAAAGTACATTACATGCGTGAGTGGTTGTTAGCATTAGCGGTTAGCAGTTGCTAAACTAGCAGGTTCCAGAGCCCGTCTGATCACAGCTTACCTTCGTACGAATTACTCTGTTCCCACTGCTTGCTGGCTTTATGATCTGCAGCTCCTGAACCCATCCATTCATGAACTGCATATGAGACTCCAAGGACTTGTAGCTTCGGAACTGTTTTGAAGTATAGGCGCTCGCTCATCGGTGCTCCACTCATTGTTTGGAACTTTATATGGATCCAAATGATTAATAATGCTGATTTTGTCACCATACCGGTCCCTGGCTTCTCTATTTAATGTGTCCTGGTAAATTCCAGATCCTTTTCGGGATTTTAACATCTTTTTTCTCTCTACTTCTGTCTCTTCTTTCAACAACAACGTTGTGTCAGAGCTATGTTTACGTTTGCGTAGCCGTCAATATGACCGCGACGTCCCACAATGCAACGTGGATCCCGAGCCCTATAACAAAATAGACACCACCAATAATAACACAAAGATAGTCTTGACCAGTGACGTGCGGTGAGGTTCATAGCTGGTGAGGCACTGACGTCATCAGAATCAGATTTGCAAATAGATGCATAGATTGACAGCAGTTTACAGGTTATGTTTCACTTCTGCATCCTTACACATACAAACTGTAGCTCACAAAACACACATTTCCTTAAAAAACAAAACAAAATAAATGTTATTACTGTCTTACCTTTACTTATAAATGAATAGAAGTCCTCCTTATCTTCCTTCAGTTTTAAAAGTCTCTCTGTCTCAATGGAGATCACTGCCAGGGAAGAAAGCCTTCCTTGATCCGTCCTGTTCCTGCCTTATGTTTTCAGTCTCTTGAGCACCCCCTGCCATGAGGCAAGAGAACTGCCTGCCTCACCTCGAACTTGTTCTCTGCCGTTTATAATCGCTCATTACACGAAACACGTTACACAAACACAGTTGGTGACAAAAAGCTCTGTACATTATATACATAAGCCAAATTATTAGAAATA